CTACATGACATGTTGAATATACTTTGCGGTTCTAAAATTTTCTCAACAATTGATTTAAAAAGTAAATATCATCATATCTTAATTTAACTAGGAGATGATACTTTTAAAATCAAAGCAAATATTTATGAATGATGACATTTAAATTAGGTTTTGAAACCTTTCATTAGTAAATTTGATATTATATATTTTAATGACATTTTATTTATAATATGAAAAAATAAAAACATATTAAGCATCGCATATCATTCTTTGAAGTGTTATAATAAAATAAATTATATATTAACTTGAAGTTTGAAGATTCATCAAAAACTTTAACTCAATTATGTGTTTAGTTACTCAATGCATTAAAAAAGATAATTTCAAATGAACTAATGAAGCTAATAACACTTTTACCATGATAAAAGAGAAATTATGTTATGTTCTTATTTTAGCCATTCCAAAATTTGATAAATTATTTGAAATAAAATGTAATGCATCCAAAGTTGATGTCATAGGTGTCTTGTTACAAGAAGGTCATCTAATATTATTTTTCAGTGAAAAACTTTTTAATACAATAAAAAATTGAACAACATGTCAACTAGAATTTTATGTTGTAGTTCGTGCTTTATAAACATGGATACACTATTTGAAATTTATTTGATACATTAATCATCAAACTCTTAAATCAATCAATAGCCAAAATTTTATAATATAATACATATAAGATGGATCTCTTTAATTTAGTGTTTTACTTTCGTTACGAAACATAAGTCTGAAAATTTTAAGTAACTTACAAATATTTTTAGTAAAAAAATAACATGTTTGGTGAACCTACGTGATGAGGTCACATGATTTGACAATCTCAAAGAGTTATACCCATAAGATAATGATTTTTCTCATTAATATGTGACCTTTATGTCTGGTTTATGAACTAAAGGTTTTTTACCTACATGATGTTTCTTATTTCAAGGAACATAGATGTATTCCTCACAAGCTCTTTAAGAGGGAAACTATTACGTAAATTACACTCTACAGGCTTAACAAGGAATGTTGATCAATACAAAACCCTATAATCAATTGAAGCGTGATATTATTGACCCAAATTAAAGAAAGATGTGGAAAATTTTATTCGCAAATGTCAAATTTGTCAAACCTACAAAGGATAGAGTCAAAATACTAGAATATACACAACATTCATAGGTGTATATTTCTATGGACTTTATATTAGGTCTACCACAAATATAGAAAGCAGCTGACTTAGTTTTTGTGGTGGTTGACAAATTTTTAAAAATAATACATTTCACTCCATGTAAAAAGATAAATAATACAAGTCAAGAAGTATATCACCTCTTCAAAGAAATTATTCATCTATAAGAAATTTATAAGTCAATTATATATGAGAGAAATTCTAAATTTGTATATTATTTCTAGTGAACTTTTTGAAAAAGGTTTGACACATTTTTCAAATTCAGTAATACTAGTTACCTATAAACTAATGGACAAATAGAAGTTGTGAGCATAACTCTTGATAATTTGATCGTTTTATTTTAGGAGATAAACAAAAGAAATTAAATTATATTTTGACTCAAGTAGAGTTTGTTTATAATTTGATGATTAATTATTCAACTAACTAATCTCTATTTTCCGTAGTATATTATTTTCCTCTAAAAATTTAATTAGATTTATTATAAGTACCAAAGTGAGTTGAAATTAACATTGTTGCAAATAATATGGTAAATCATATTAAAATAATTCATGTGATACACAATCTCACAAAAAATTATGAAAAATATAAAGCAACAATAGATAAGAAAAAAAGAAAAAAATACATTTTGAGTTAGAGACAAAGTTATGATGTACATTTGCAAAAATTAATTCCCAACAAGTAACTTCAACAAGTTGAAGCCAAAGAAATATAGACTATATCAAGTTCTATAGAAGATTAATAACAATACATCATCGTCAAGCTCCCACTAAATATGATTATTTCACCTACATTCAATATTAATGACGTATATGAGTATTATGATAAGTTAAATAAAAACTCAAGGACAATTTTTTCTAAAGAACAAGAAACTATCTTAAATTATCTTAAATATAGCCCAAGACACAAGTTGAAATCTCAACTTTAAATTTAAACCCAATTATCTTAAATTTGGGTCACAAATGGTTTGGAAGTCTGAAAAGTAACATTTTATTCCTTTCTATGTACTTTCACTTTTAAAAGATATTTTATGTCCTTTTCCTTCTATAAGAAGTTTTAAATACTATTTAGAGTTTGTACTTCAAATTTATTTAAGATATCTACATGTTATAGTTTATTTTAGGTCAGTTTAAGGTTAGTAAAAATTTATCTAAATGATTTGTCTAAGATCTCAATTTGTTAGTCTATTTTAGGTCATTTCAAAGCTAGTCAAACTCTATCCTCAAGATATATTCAAAATCCTCTTTTTGGAGTGCCCCACCTCCCATTCTCTCTCTCTCTCTCTCTCTCTCTAGTCTCTCCCTCTAGTGGATTCACTACTATCTACAAATGGCCATATAGAGCATCTATGAATAAGAGGGAATGGAGACATGACCCTCACAAGTGGAAGAGTTTGCCACTAGATCCCATAAGAACTCTAGAGTTAAGCATGCTCAGGTGAGAGAACACTCCATATGTGCTGCAAGGCACCACACTAAGCCATACCACGATGTACCTAGTTCTGAACAATGTGCCATGAGGCACCCTTGCACCAACGTGCTGTGAGGCACCCCTACACCGACATGCCCCAAGACACCACACCAACTTGTTTCATGAGGCACCCAGCTCCGGATCAATGTGCTGCGAGGCACCACATCAACTCGTACCATGAGGCACCTAACTCTGACCAACTTGTCATGAAACATCTACTCCAACTAAGTGTTGCAAGTCACCACATTAGCTTGTACCATGAGGCACCCCTGTCCATCAAATGTTCTGCAGTGGGGTGTATGAAGTAAGGGTGACCTCCAAGAAGTTCACTGAAAGTATAAAGGCCCAAAAAGAAAAAGAAAAGAATAGAGACACCTCAAAGAAACTGATCGTCTGTGTCATCCTCTTACGAATGAAGCAATTCACGACCATGAATAAGCTTAAGAAGATGGCGTTAGTAGTGAGTCACCGCTCAATCTGATCTAATCCAATCCCCTTCCATTTTTTGAAGCTCCTGATCTTCATTGACCTCCCACTGCCAGATGATTTCCACCAACCTCTCAGAGGAGGACATCAAGGGCCTGAAGCAGATGTTCGCTGGCATGGACACCGACAGGAGCGAGACGATCTCCCACAAGGAGCTGAAGATGGGGTTGACCCGCCTCGGGTCAAAGCTCCCCGACCCCGAAGTAAAACGCCTCTTGCACGCCGTCAGAAGCCGGAAACCCCACAAAAAAACTCTCTTGATTTTTTTATTTTTTTAGAGTGAAATGTGCATGATCTTGCTGCTGCCCCCACATGCCGACCTAGATGGCAATCGACTATAGGGAGTTCATCATCACCACCATGCACATGCACAAGCTAGAGAGAGGAGCACCTCCATGAGGCCTTCCAACACTTTGACAAGGATAACAGCGGGTGAACAAACGAGCGGAGAGGAACGGTTGGGGAGGGGAGGGGAGGGGGTTGACTTTAATCATCATCATCATCATGAGAGGTAAGGTAGGCGGGTTCACTGTAATCATCTTCGTCATCACCATCATGAGAGAGGTAAAGGGGGAGGGGTTGACCTTAATCATCTTCTTCATCATCATTGTGAGACAGGCAAGGGGGAAGGAGGGTTGACTTTAAACATCATCATGATCAAGAGAGAAACAAGGGGGAAAGAGGGAGTTGACTTTGACCGCCATCATCATGAGGGAGGCTAATAATCTTGTCAACCGCATTGACCACCGGGTTCATCACCCGAAGTCTGTCAACGAGATCATGTCTGAGATCGATATGATATAAACAACATACATCTCCTTTTTGTTCAACTTTCTTTGGAAATAATGGTTTCTAACGTCATAAAGAAAAAAGTCCCGACTACTACATTATTCATATAATTATTCTCAACGTGCATGTTGACTTTCAGAACGGAAAGATCAGTTATGAGGAGCTCAGTTATGAGAGCCCAAGTAGAGATGGAGCACATTCAGGCCTCCTGAACCCTAAGCAACATGTTCTGGCAAAAACCCCAGAAACTGTTCCGGTCAACATGTAAAGCATCGGCAAGCTCTGAGTTATATCCTCCTGAACACCGATGAAAACCACCACATAATGGAATAATTCAGACCCACGGAAGAGCACAGAGAGATCAGGATTTAATTCTGTTTTTTTAAATAAAAATAAAAGAGAAGATTTCTAAGATTGTGAGAGGATCCGGTGAGAATCTAAAAAGGGTTTTTGGATTCCAGTCACTATAATGAAATCAAAGAATAGACAGCGAGTGCCGGTCTCATGCAGTAGATAACTACAAAAATGCCATTCAAAGCTTAGCATGGCCAAGACCTCCCCAGGAACAGAGATGGATGATTGGGGGCCAGGCCACCATCTCTCCCCCAGTTCTCTTTTATTCCCAGAAATAGCAGTTCACTACCACTCCTCTTCTAGCAACTAGGACAGGACATGACCCCTTCCTTCCTCATAAGACACACAAAGACGGAGGTGATAGAGATAGGAGAAAGAGAGAGAGAGAGAGAGGGTATGGTACGGATCATTACCTTGACAAGAAAACTTCTCATTCCTTCCCTACTGGTGTCGCGGCGTCAGCACTGCCAAGTCAGCAAAAAGGCCATGAGAAAGACCGGAGGGCGGAGGAGTAGGGAAAGAAAGCAGTGTGGGGTTTGTGAGAGGAGGGGTGGGGGAGGTTTAGGGCTGACAGGCATCGGAAGGTGCTGAGATGAGCGAGGAACAGGGAGAGAAAGAGGCCACAGTCGAGGGACGGAGAGGGCCAATAAAGAGAGAGAGTCTAGGAAAAGAAATTAAGGAACCAATTTGAATGATGCACTTGCCCAACCAATTGCTTTTAGGCTGTTGGAGTTCCTTCGTTATTCGTACCCCACTGTTCGTCGCCCTCGTTCCCATTAACAAGGACGGCGCCATCTGTAGAGCCATCGGCATCGACTTCGATGGCCTCCTCTTCACCATCTTCTCCTGCTCCTGCAGCCTGGAGAAGAGGGAGAGAGAGAGGTCAGAAATCAGTATCTGGAAGCAAATATTAGAGATCCGGATTCCACTCCCCTTTTCTGGAAAAATATGAGCATGATAGCAAGGGGGATCCAGGGTATGGCACAGCATTGAACGGTTTTTTCTAAAAATGCAATCGCCTTTTTTTTTTCTTCTAAAAATGTACGTTTGAGGATGCGAATGCATGCTGTAGGCAAAAATAGACAGAAGTCAATCGGCGATTAAGGATTTCTGTCATGAGAAGTTGACCATGCAGCCTGTAATCTTATGAGAATCTGATAAAAAACAAGCAAGGATATGGCAGATCAGCTGTTAATACGCAGTCACTTTAAAAAAAAAAAACTAACTTTAGATTATCTTTTTATGCAATAGAAGTATGAAGGAAGTGATGTCGTTGAGTTAGGATAAATTTTACGAGAGAATTCGATAAAATTAAGGAAGGATACCGATCAGCTACCAATATACATTCTCTCATTATTTTTGGGAAAATCGCCAGCGGAAATCACCAGTAACTGTGAAACTGATGTGAGATCTGACAGACATTATTGAAGATTTTTGCAAAATAAACCGTAAAAAGTAGAGCAAAAATAAGTATTCGTAAGCATCAACAGACCTCGTGGCCAGAATCTCCATTCTCGAGCGGCACTCCCTCATCTTCTTCACTGATTTGCATATTTTTGAATGCTTCGACGAGGTTGGTGTTAGGCTTTCCGGCATAGTTTAGGTACTCCACAGCAGGAGGAAAGATGCCCCTGCTTCCAAGAACAGGACTGGTCAAGATAAGGCAGAACAGCGAACATGGCTACAGAAACTAGCATCCTAGTGTAAAAGATTCCATCTGTGGAATAAGAGACATTGGAGTTGACTTCTACTGGGCCTTACCCAACCTGGAAAATTCAGGAGAGGGGAGAGAGAGAGAGAGAGCCAGAAATGTGCACCTTTTATCTGAGATGTTAGACTCGACTTCAAGAGAAAGATGCCAGTCCTCGAAGAGGTTGGGATACTCCTCAGGATCTGCCAAAGACTCTGCAGCTTTCGGGTTAACCTTCAAATAGAGCACAAAGAAAACATTTCAAACAGAAGCCCGTGTTTCATCCCTCTCCAGATCATAGAAAGAAACAAGATGATTGAAGAAAACGAAGAACAGATTCCAGGCTATTTAAAAACGATTCAATTTTTCATCAGAAAATAACTCCTTGAAGGGAAGAAAGAACCGAACCTTATTCAGATCATTTCGCCAGATTCCTATGATCTTAGAAACGTGGCTTGGAAGATAGGACCGCGCCATAAGAGCAGCTTCTGGAATGCGATTGCTGTAACCGTACAAAAGATTGTGATAATGATCTCGAAATATATTTCAACGAGAATTGTAGAATGGGAGTTACCTCTCCACCAGCAGCTGAAGGCAGTCCTCCAACTTGCCTAACATGAACAAGCAGAGAAAGGCAACATTGTTCTTCCCCTGTTCTTTTGCAAGGGACGCAAGCTTAGTGATTCCCTCCGCATCCCCCAGGGACGAGTAGAGAAGCAACAAACCACTCAAATCCATAGCATATTGTAAGCATTCCTCGGCCATTTCCAACTGCGTCCACAGAAATATATAACGAACCGATGAGACAGCGAAAAATTCTGACGTTTAGAAAACAAACAGTCTCAACTGGAATAAGAGCAGAATGATCTAACATCAAACAAAAAGAAGGCTATCCTACCAAGACATAAAACTAAATCATGTTTGGCAAAACGCGTGCAATCATTTTCTAGGAAATATCATACAGGAACAATTTGAGCTGGCTACATTTTTCAAATAAAGAAAAACGATATAAGAGATCACAACCTTTAAATGTGATGCAATGAATATTCGATATAAACCAAATCACAAAGAAAAGAAAACAAGAACTCTTGAGACATGGAAACCTGTATATCGAAGGGGAATGAGAAAAAACGAGAAAGGAACCATTTCATGTCTTGGTTTTGAAAAAGAAGGGATTTTCGACTGTCTTATTTCGGCAAATAGGAGAATACCTTTCCAGACGACATGGCTAGTTCTCCTAGCTGCTTCCACTTTGATTCACTTTGTATTTCAATAGCAATCCCCTACAAAGATCAATTAAAGTTTTGAAACCAAATAATTGGACAGAAATTCCAGGAAAAATGAATCATATAATCGTTCTGCGTGGGAAAAAAAAGTCGAAGAAATATACCTTTGCAACCTCTAATCTTCCAAGTTGCACAGCCAGATCAAATCTGTAATTATGATCTGTAGCGACTTCCAGTGCATCTTCCAGCATGCCTCTTGACTCCAAGAAATGTGCCACACTGAAAAGCACGGCGTAATTCTCCCCAGAGTCAGGGTTTGATGCCAACAAGAGGATTTACAAAGTAACCAGACCAAAGGAAACAACTCGCAAGGTAGTCACATCCCTTTTTCTTTCTGTACGAATCCAACACCATAAGCCCATGACAAACTAATTCAGAATTTCAAATAACATACAACTGTTTATGACTGATAATGTCAAAACAGTGGAGTTGTATCAGCGTATCAATGTGGAATAACATTACACAGGAAAACTAGTCTCAAAGGCTGTTCTCATTTAACACGATAAATATAAATTTATTCGAATATCCGGAATCCCTTATCTTTCACACCAAAGGATATGATAAAGTCATAACAGTTTCTTATCCAACACAAATGATTAAGGGCAGAGGAGCCAGCAAAACCAGTAGGAGATGACAGTTTCAATATGACTGCACAATATGTTTGCAATAAGCACCAATGTTTTCACAAAGACATACACCCAAACCACTGCACAATTGTTATGTGGATCACGCACATGACATCATTACAGAATCCATATGCAAACTGGTACACGAAATTCACTTATCAGTACGAAAGTCCTAATACTATTTCATTGATTACTAATGAGAACTGTCTTATACTACAAAAGGCTTCAATAAACATAAACACATAAATCTGTGAGTTTTCACCATTATAATGGAATATGAAAAGATTCAAATGTCAAAATACTGATACATGTTGATATATAATTCATTGCCAGAAGATTCTCACGCACAATCTGACTAGACTTAAAAAACCTTGTAACTTAAATGGCTCTTTTTGCAACGTATTGATTGGCAAACGATGGCCTAAGAGGCTAAGAACTTGTAGTTTTGTATTGCTACATACCTTTCAAAAATTCTGAGCAAAAAAAAACCCATAACAGAAGAGAAAGATCCAAGAATTTGAAGCTTGGTAAAAGAAAAATGCTATAGTTCTCAATCATGTTATCCACTTTCCAAAATTTCCATTTCCACAAACTGTGTTTGAGGAACCTCAGAAGAAAGTAAAAAGAGATGTAGAGCAATCGCACCTGTTATGGTGTTCCTTCGGTATTGAAGGCAAAATTTCGTTTGCACGGTCCAAATCCCCACGCATCACCAGTGTTTTATACTCAATCAAACTGAGAAGTAATGTGTATCCTACAACACTACATTCGAAAAGAAATAGATGACTAAGTATTTACCTGAGTAGAGACAACGGTTAGAAAGCACACAAACACTGAAATATCACTCACTTAAACTCTTTGTCGATCAGGTATACACGACTTTGGTTGGCAAGATAGCCCAGCAAGTACATTGGTTTGTCTAAGTGAAACATTGTAGTTACCTATAACAATAAAAGCAGATATTCATCCCGCTGCACATCATATACACAGTACAAATAAAAGAAATGTAAAAAGAGTAATTAAACAAACCTCTCCACCAACACAATAGTTTAGCCGTGAAGAAGAGTTATTATAGATAAAACAGTCTCCAACCCATATCCCTGTTCGGACCCTCTCATTTACTTCGTGAAGGAGATCGAATGCTTCTTCAACACCTTGGTCATCAGCAGATCTACCGCTTTCCAAATAAGAGACTACAACGTCTCTCTGAAAAAAGACACGCTGGTCTTACAACAGATAAAAGAGTAAAGAGAATCTACCAGTATCTGTCATATAAAAGGAAAGGGAAAGCTTACATTGTACTTGAGAATGTAAAATGATGTGTCACTAGCAATTGCTACCAGGTCACCACTATCAGCCCAATAGAGATTCTGAAACAATAAAACCACTAGCACAATATAAACACAATAGCGCAAAAGATTACAAAATATCAACTACGCTCTATATGCAGGACAGAAAACCTACCTTGACGTTTACATCAATCCTACGTATTAACCTGCATTCAGCCCAATCATAAAAGCAGACAAAGTCATTCGAGCACATTGCTAGGAGGGATCCGCCGAAAATTCGCTCTGCAGAGAATGTTGGGCGTACACTTTTCTTCTCCTGAATCAGATCCAGTTGCAATCTTAGTTGTTTGAGTCCAAATGATCAAGTATGAGGAGAATATGATAATACATCACATTTTTTGACGGACAAAGCAAGTCTTCCTTTTGTTTTGTAATAAAAAAGTTGCCACAAAATTAAGCAGAAAAACTAAACCAGTTTTAGTAATATCAAATTTTGAATATGGATTATAATGTTCTTGGTGGAAACAAAGCTATTGTGTGAATGCTTAGTAAAAACAAAGAGAGTGACTTTTGGAGATGTATAAAATGTATTTCAATATTAAATAGAAACTCAAACGAACATCAAGGTTGAAATCACCCACAACAAGACGCATGTTTTGATCATGTAATGAATCCATTAGGTTAAAAAGGCAAACATATACAAATTTTGCATTTAAAATGGCTAATTGAAGTCGGCATGCAAAAAAAATCTAATTGGGAAAATGTCCGCATATAAAGAATCAAATACAAAAATCCAACCATTCTTCTTACACCCCTTTTCTGAACGTTGAATGTACAAAATGTTTGAAGAAAGCAGAAATACAGATTGCCACTGTAATGATGACAGAAGAAATCATGAAGCAATGAATTTCGTTTAGGAACTAAAACTTAAAGAAACATAAACCAGTAAAAGTTCACATATGGTTCATGTTCCTCTGACCAATGCTCTTCCTAAAATGATTTTAATTAGTTCTTTCAAACAAATAAACCACCCAACGAAACGAAAATTTCCACATGTATAAACATGGAAAACGACATAAAGATGCTTTATTATTAGGTGTCCTTGAACTATGTTAGTAATCACCCTCATTACTTCCAGGTTATAGGACCATAACTCCATTTTATTATGTATGCTCCAAAAAAGTGAAATGCCTAATCTGGCTGTACATCTCTCACTGGGAAAATAAGTCGAATAAGGAAAGCTTTTCATCAAGGTTTAGAAACATCCAAAGAAATAAAAAATGATAAATAAGTTAAGATGAGGTCAAACCTGGAAAGTTTTGCTGAAGATTTTCACTTTTGACGTACTCTCCCGAACTGCATATTCTCCCTCAGATGACCACACAAATTCTAAAGCAGAACCAAAAGATCTATTTCTCCAAGCCAAAGCTGTATATATGATGTACTCGCCATCACCACAAACGACGACAAATCTTCCATTCGGATTGTGCCTTAAGCTCTGGAAAAAGCATGAATTTTATAATATAAGGAAATTTACTGGTAAGCATTAAAGATACAATACGCACACTCAAGATAGCCTTTAGTCTGAAAAAAATGTTAGGCCTGAGTCTAGTCCCAACCCATTCAGAAATGACCAACCAATTCCAACCTTAAACAACTTTATCTAAAATTGTAGGAAACCAAAATACAGGACAAGTTTTCGTGCTGGATCTTAGCAAAACATGATCCAAAGCTCAAAATTTGATAAAGAAAAGCGTTCATTCAGAATTCCTCGAAGAATATCACATAATGCCTCAGAAAAATGCTCCATTCGATGTATCTTGATAACTAGGGTCAACTTACTTGAGGGTATAGGTCACAGCTGCCCAACTCCTTGACAGCTAGAGGTAATCTTTCTCCATCTGTTACCTGCCATGTCCAATTATGTCAGCTCCAAAAACAACTGTAGAGCGAATAGTTCAACTGGTCAAAGATAAATGTCTACTAACCTCAAAGTCTGCTCCCACAGTCTTGATGTTCACAGTTTGAATTTCATTGTGCTTTGCCCATATTATTTTCCCACTGCTGTCCATACTGGCAACAGGCTCTTCTCGACCAATTTTTACCATAATGGTTCCTTCATCGTATCCAATCGCAAGCCTGGAAAATAAAGACCACCACAATAATGGAGCAACTTCTCAAATATTTCGTTTATCAATGTCAAGAAACGAAACTTCTAAAAAGCTTAGCAATTCGCAACTCAGCACCACGTTATTATGAGGTTTCAATTCCACATAATTTTACCACCAAAAAGTTGAAGATACAAGTCCTCCCATTTTGAAGGGCAAACAAAACAAAACGTATGCAACGAGGTATTAAGTTTTCAAATAATATCCATCAACTCCCAAGTTCTGAAATAAACACGCATTACCAGATGAATCAGAACAAGAAAAAAGATATTATGTATAATCCACATACCTTCGTGATCCTTTCATATATCCAATAGCCCATACTCGTTCAAGACCATAATTCAATGTTGTCTCTAGCCTGTAATTAAACAAAGTGTGGTTCAGCGTACTTCTTTCATCAACACAAAAAAGACTATTTTTAGGGAAAAGTCTGTTGGTTCAATCTAAGATAGTACTTCATGAAAAGCATGAAGTCAGAAAAATTTAATTGTAGAAACAGAGCTTCTAAGAGTCTCTTAGTAAAGCATAATTTATTCAAGCATATTATATGATTAAGCTTTTTTCAGTCAAACGACAGAGGACATAAGAAACAGAAATTTCTTCCAGACGATAATAAGATGATTTGGGACAGATTTCTAAATAGCAATTTCTTCCAGCCATTTTTCATCTCGTGACAACTAGGAATGTGATACTGCAGCAATTTTGCATCTAAAAGCATTAGAAATTTATTATAGCCACAGATGAGAATTGAAAAATAAAAATCAATATTTTTATTAGAGACAGAAAGTTAGTATAGCAGTGCGATGAACTTAAAAATGCAAGAAGACAACAATAGAACCCGTATAGTACATCAACTCATATTCAAGATTTTAGTAAATAATGTATGCCAAAAGCACAGTTTGTTACATAATATGAATCAACATGTTTGAATAAAAAATGGCAGTTTAATAAAAGATCAAAAATACCGAAAAAAAATCAGTCATCACCAATGCAACACTGCCATTGAATATATACAAAAAATGTACTAAATTCGTTGTTCCACTCCCTTGCAACCATATGTTACCATCAACACTGTTGATGAATAAACCCAAATGCCTTAGTAAATTAAATAAAAGCATAAAATAATGTACCTATAAGTAGTCGCATGCCATATACGAACTGTTCCATCCTCGGAACCAGTAATAATGATCGGAAGCTCTGGATGGAAACAGACTGCTGAAACATTATGTGTGTGTCCTTCAAGGGTTTGAACGCAGCTTTTTGTTTGGTAGTCCCATACCTGTTTCCACAAAACGGAATAACAAAGTTTGGGGTGAAAAAACGATTTTTTTAAGAAGTCAGCAAAGAGGAGGGGTCAAACCTTGGCTGTATGGTCATCAGAACCAGTGATTAGATATGGTCTATCACCGCCAGTGAAATAGTCAACACAATTCACTCCTTTCTGATGGGCATCCAGTGTAAAATTAGGATCTGGGGAACCAAGATTCCATATCTAGCATACACAAAATTACATATTAGACCACAATAAATGTAAAATTAATTGAAGTATCTATCAGGCAGATCTATAAGACATAAGAGCACCTTTATTGTACGATCAAGGGATGCGCTTGCAAATGTGTTCGTGTCTTTGGGATTAAAAGTGATTTGCATGACATAATGTGAATGGCCCTCAAATATCTGAGTACACATCCAACTTTTTTCCCAATCCCAGAGCTTTATCAACATATCGTCAGAAGATGACAGCACATATGGAAGAGTAGGGTGTACAGCTACACATCGTATATAATCTGTGTGGGCCTCAAAAACCTTAACTTTGTCCATTGTATTATAATTGTAAACTCGAATAAACATATCATCTGCTCCAGCAACAATCCACTGTTTGCGTGATATGAACTTTGCAGACCGCACTGAAAATTAAAAATTACATTAGAACACAATACATATTCAACATGAATTTAAAGAAACCTCGTGATGAATTACATACCTGGTAATTCGGTCACCTCGAAAGATTTGACCATTGTCTGGAGGGGAAAAAATATTAATGAATATGATCAGAAGTGTAGCCAAAAGCCCAATATATTGCAGAAGTATGTATCCAGTCATGTGATACAAATCTTCAAAGGAACGATGCAATGGACGAAAATCTCGGGATTTTGTCATTCTACTATATGTCAAATGAAAAAAGTGATGGGTAAGAAAAGCCTTCATTTTGGCGCTCAAGGAAGAGGGGGCTTGAGAACAAAAAAGGTCATTTCTTAAGACCACACCATGCGTCAATTCAAAGGGCAGTAGCAATGAGTGAGGAAGGTCTTCGTCCTTGAGCCAATCTGACCATCAAGAGTTCAAGATCATCAAGGAGTTGCCCAAGCAAATGGATCTGATCACACACACGGCACCATGCCATGCAGCTTATGCCGATCTTATTATCCATCGACAAAAATGGACAGATGGTATTTCACAGGGAATTTCCTCAATTGTGAACCGCATTAGCGAGATTGAGATAATTCATATCTTTTTCTAGATCATTGTGAATGGTTCAATATCCCATTCTTGATTCATTTTGGTCGGCTGGGAATAGCCCGGGCTCAGTTGACATTTGCTGATGTAGATCAGGTCAACGCCATAAGACCTATACATTTGTCCAACAGTTTAAAGCTACATATAAAGGGCTAGGATAAGACGTGAGCAACTTAGTGAACTTTAGAATGTTTACTAAATTTCGTGTGGTACGTATAGGAAAAAAATATTTTTTCTCAGTTCTCCATTTGCTTTAAGAAAATGAACATGAATTGACAAAATGACAGTAATAGAAAAGGATGATAATATCCAAGCGCCAGGGAGTATATAACAGAAATCGAGTGATAACATAATTAAAAAAAAGGCAGAAGAAAGAAGCAGAAAAGCAGGAGGATTTTGATGGTCACAATCTAATAGGGACTACTGGTATGAATGGAGATGTGCCATCCCAAAAAAATCCTCATTCATTAGAGGCGCTACTCTTTGCTCTTCCAAGCAACAAGCCTAAGAATTTTGACATGAGAAATAATAACATCCACCCAGGACAAATAACGTACAACTTCAGCACTCTTTAGAGAGTCATAAAGGCTAGGCATGCAAGCAAAATACTGGGAAAACATGAAAATTGAAGTTTCTCACCTGCGACTGATGGTTCCAGATGCAAACACTTCCAGAATAAAGACTGACGAGAATCCTGGTAAAGCAGAAGATTGTCGAGATTATAAACATATGATAACCTCTAATTGGCCACGGAGTCGAAACAGAAAAATTGATTCTACACCGCTTAAAGGAAGCAAAAATCATTCCTAAGCCCACTTGAACGCAGAAATCATCCTACATGATTTAACAGGGTGAACGGCGCAAGCTTTCCTATTCCACCAATCAATATGCACCCCACAGCAAGAAATCACAGCAAAAAGTTACAACTCATTCCGGAAAACAGAAAGCAAGTACCATGGCTCGGTCGGATGCAGATCCACAGATTTCACTCTCTCCGACCTTTGCGCAAGTTTCCTCTGATCCAAAAAAATATCATCAGCATACTCTCAGATAAAATATTGCTCCGGAAAAAGTGACAAACGCTGAAGTGGAAATATATGCCGAATTCCAAATGTGAACTTGAAGAAAGAAACAGATCTAGGTGAAAATAGGCCAAACTAGAATGAAAAAGTTAAAAATACCTTGATCTCCAGTCGGAGCGGCTGTTAATCCCCCCCAGACGTCAGCAGAACACCAAGAAAAAACATAAAAGTCATTTGTCAGCGACAAATCGTATATGAGAGAGGCGTTAAGAGGGGGAGAACGTCTATTATACAAATGCGTGGGAGAGAATAGGCAAACGAAATTTCCCTGCTGTCTCTGTTGCATCCCGGTGCTGTAGGTTATATTTCACAAATTGGCACGAACAGATGACCGAAATGGAGTTCACCACATACCATTCTTGCCGATCTCGAGCTCGAAGACGAAGAATAGCACAGAGGAGCGAAGAGGACCTCCGGAGGCGCGGATCCAGGAAGGAGGATGCCCCCAAGCGCGACGGATCTGAGTAGGAGGTGTGGCGGAGGCAACCACTATAGGGACTCCCACAAGAGGCGAAGTGAAAAGAAGGACGTGGCCTCCATGTTACTATAAAACCCTGTCATATTTTAAAAAGTATCATAACGCTTCATATAGTCAATATTGTATATGTACCCTCCCTTTAACGGGCCAAGCCGGACACGGGCCCAGATTGGCGTGGAAAATTATGAATCCAGGGCCCGGCTTGGAAAGGATGAGTGAAGAGAGGGGGAGGCGGGCTATAAGTTTTCTGGGTAGACTGGGCCTCGGGCTTTCTGGGCCCGCACCCAGGCTTTTTACAGCGGTGCGGGTTTTTAGTGTCCGGGGCTTAGGCTCCCGTTCTTCTTAACCTCCTGCCCCGACATGGTGAGACTATGCTTATCCATATTTGAAAACAAATTGAATCTTATATTCACATATCTCTCTCTCTCTCTCTCTCTCTCTCTCTCTCTCTCTCTCTCCCTCTCCCCCCTCTCTCTCTTTCTCCCTCTCCCCCTCTCTCTCTCTCCCTCCCCCTCCCCTTTACATATCATTTATGAGAGAAGAGGTTGAGCCTGGGTTTCCTCTGGGATGCAAAATCCTTTTTATCGCCGGAATCCCCACAATTTGAATTGAAAATCGCACATTTACAAGAACCCTTCTCTCTGATTGCATTTCCGAAGATCTTAAGCCAATTAATCCGTGATTTACTGGCTTTAATGTCACATTAAGATTAGATCTTTACATGGAATTGCCCTTCCCACATGAGAAAAGTCACGGAAAACACAGATTTTTGCCCGGAATTCCGTCGTATTCCTCGAGCGATCCGTAGGAATGAAGGGGGAAGAGAGAGGCCATGCTCCGCCCTGGAGTCCCAGAAGGAGACGGAGTTGGGCGCCGCAGCCTCAGTCGCTCGACGACGAGGACTTCGCCGTCCAGTACTTCTCGATCTCCTCCGCCGTCCTCCCCGGGATCCTCCCGGCGATGAGAGTCCATCTGAACCCACAACGCAGCAGTTAAAATTCAGGTCCTGAAACAATCATACATATCCATTCCATTCGCCGGCGATTTATTCTGGATCGAACGACTCGATTCTCGAACATGTTCGAGGTTTTCGATCGATCGACCGTCTGGGTCCGGAAGAAAATAGGGAATGATTTTGTCTTAAAATGTGGGAGTTCAGCAGATGAGGAATTGTTCTCTGAGAAGAATGCCGCCGACCTTTGGCCGATGAGGGTGTACATGCGGGCGATGAGGTCCTCCTCGTCCTCCGAGAAATCCGCCGCCGGCCCGCCACCGACTTCCTGCGGAAGAAGAGATGGGGAACCTCGGAAACGGGGGGAGGGGGAGGCGCCGCCACTGGAGAAAGAGGACTCATCGGAGCTCGCCATCCTCCGCCGGTTGTACTGCCGGCGATGGAGTGGGTGGGTGAGCCCCTTTATAGCAGCGGGTCATCCCCGTGGGGCCGCCGGCGGGGAGAACGGAAGGTCAGGTGGGAGGGAAGACTGGTAGCTACCAAGACGGAGGCGGCTCCTCTCTCTCTCTCTCTATCTTTCGGCCCATTGGGAATGCCAAGGAGCGGATATGTCCGTCGAACGGACCGACCTTTTCGGGCATCTTTGCCGCTGGGGGATGTCACCACAGGAAATTGCCGCGAGGTCTTACAAGGTTCGTCGTCGCTTCACGTCTTGTAGCGCCGCCTCTGTCTGTGTCTGTCTGTCTGTCTGCCTGTCACTCTCTCTCTCTCTCTAGTATCTATATGCATATATGTTTGCAATATGCATAGGCAATGTCAGACAGGCTTTGAAGTAGCGCAGACCATATACTCTATTTTCTTTATTTTTTTCAAGGCTGAGTCCAAAAATAGGCCTTTTTTTGTATAATGAAGAAGAGTTAGTGACCCAAATCCCTAAAAAAACCATGCAAAGGTGAGCTTTAAAAGGGTGATAATATTTTACCTAAGATCATGAAATTTAAATATCTTAGGATTTCAACGTAAAGGACAAACCATGAAAAGGGTGTCAAATTCATAAGATACGAGCCATACCTAGCGTAAAGAACAGTCATATTCTTCATTTGCTATGCAATAATGTGAAATAAATCAAGATTCTAGTGTGTCATATGTAAAGATGATCCATACGGGTTTCCATTAACATGCAACTAGTTGCCACAATGAATTTCTTCATAGCATACTCAAAGAGCTGAGGAAATGGACTTGAAAATAAATGACAGACAAGTTTTTTATTGTTCTTACATTTAGATCCAATTGATAGTTGAGTCAACAATGTGCGATCAATCGTTCCATTGGAACTCTCTAGATTTACTCATAATTTCTCACTTAAAAGATACATCATTGCATATTTCCTTTGGTAGGATTAATTGCCATTTGGAGATCATTTGTTTTTTATGTACATCACGGCATGGTCCAAATTGTACATCCTTGATTATCAAAAATCCTTTTTGAGCATTTGAAACATTTTATTTTTATGCCTCATTCCTCCCTTCTTAATAGCTAGGGTTGCCATCTAGCATTACACTAGCAAACTTAGTTTTCTTATAATATGCTCTATTCTCTCAACATTAGAATATTGTCATATGCTTTGGTTTCTCATAAAACCATTAAGTGAGGCCCACTTTAATTGAAAACAAATCCCTAACATACAAAAAGAAAGGTTTGAGATTTGCTTCTTAGTGATTGTGTGAGTTAACATTTCGTTTTATGAAGTAAGGGAGAGAATATACTTGTAATTATTGAAAAGTAATTTAAAATATTAATCTACATGTGTAGGATATGACATTTAAAACTTTTTTGGGATAAATTATCATTCATTCTTAAAATAAGATTTACATTAAATAGGAATGATGTTGGTATTATCATATTCCTTCGCCACCCACTGAGGTGACTTAATTATTACATAATAAATTCAGTAAATTTAAAATTTATAAAACTAGAAAATACTAATTTTTAAAATTTTAAAGTATTTAAGTGTAAATATATTAATTTAATTTGATAAAAAAATCCTAAAAATAGTGAGAATTTTTCAAAAATCGATCATAGGGATGTAAGATATATAAATAAAAAAAAATTAAATTTTTCTCAAAAATATAGTTCTTTATGATTTTTATACTAAATGATGAAGAGAAAATCTATTTAAAAATTCAAGAAAAGAAAATTCATGTACTTACATCAAGATGATGTCAACAACTAATGAATGTACTTTTGGGCAAGAATAAATTTATGCTTGATAATTTTCGCATAAGTGATTATAGATAATTTAATTGATCAAATTAAGATAAGTAAAATTAACAAAATCATAATTGACTAAATAATAGTTTTTAAAAATTAAAATCACATAAAATAATAATTATGTTTAAAATTGAAAAGATAGAGTTTCAATATTGTGGTGGTGAATGTGTAAATTCTGAGTATTTAGAAAGATTTTTGTGTGATATCCATGGCTTTAAAGGGTCTCTTTGGACATTCACGATGTGGTCAATCTCTAAATCATCTTATAAAATCTAGAAATTGATAAATAGATTGATAAACTTCTCTAATGGTTGTCACTCAATAGAGTAAAAGTTTGATGGCAATGAATTTTCTAATAGGTGTCACCCGACAAAGATTGAGTCAAGTTAAGTTAGGGTGCATCTAATGGAACTTTTTCTTTAAGTTCTAACAGCGAGATAAAGCTCATTTTGCATTTGGCTTGTTTTAGAGAAACAACAACTTATCTCTCGACAAATCGTCCTATTCTCAACAAGAGTGTTTTTATCAATCAATCGAAGATGATTTTCTTGATGAATTTATGAACTTTGCATCCAATGTGTTCATAAGTTAGTAACAATACTCTGCAAATTATGTTGATGACATCTTCATTGATGATCGAGTAATTCCAAAAACTTAATCATTGACTAGCACTCTATAAGAAAATCATAATTTAATCAAATAAAAATATAAATTTTAGTTGTGGTAGGTTTTGAACCTTTGTTGATTGCCTAGTTGTGTGAAAGAGGGTTAGCAAATTACCCACATATCAACATGTTTAGTCCTATGTTGGTTGTTTCTTGATGTTTGAGACACACACACTCTATATACAATATGTGTGTGTGTGTGTGTGTGTGTGTGTATGTGTGTCCTTCTCTCTTTGAGTTCCCTCTCCCAAAAATAAAATGCTTATGACCATTTAGGGAGAAGGCTAAGCCAGGTGGTCCACCCTCACATACACAAGTGTGTATGACTATTCCTTGCCCCATGTTCAGCTAGCCCTTAGTGACATTGAAGGGGGGTGATGTGCATGTACTTTTTGTGGGTCCTTAGCCACTCAAGCCCCTGAGTCATGGCTGCCCCAATTGTACTTATGATCTCCATGCAATACCCTTTGGGTTAGCTATTAGGTACTAACTGTCTAATGAGTCCTTCTTGTTTCTCATTTTTATATTTATTTTATTTTTCCTTATTTTATCTAAAAGATATGAATATTAAAAGTATATAAATTCACATAGTTAGCCAAAAATTTACATTAGTCAGCTAATTTTTTTTCTCAATTTAACACAACTACAAGTCTATTTATTATGAGTTAAGATAGAAAAAATATTAAACTAATTATTAACTTATGATAATGAAACTTTATTACACACCAAATTATGGAAAGTCTATTTTGACTTAAGAAAACTTACTTAATTTACATAATAGAACATTTGAGATTTACACTTTTGTGATTGTGTCATTAATATTCAAATAACTAAAATGACTATACTTGTGATTATTGGAAATAAATTCGAATTATTAATCTAGGCATGTGTTGTAGGACCTAACATTTGATACTTTTGTGCCCAATGATATAACATTTTCTCATGATGGTAAGAGACCTTTGCTCATATTGGAAATGAGATTTACATTCAAATGACTATAAATTCTTTTTCTATCATATCTATGAGGAAATTGAATGTCATGTTTCTCAAGAAGGATCACCATCATTACTAGTTCAAATTATTGTGGGAAGAGTATCTACATCAAACATGCTATGTATTGATATTTTCCATTGTGAAGTTTTCTACATTCCTCACTTTTCTTTAAAACACTTTTCAACCAACTACAAGCAAATAAATTACTGGTTAGTTCATGTAATTATTGAATTTTTTGACATAATTGTTTCATAGTTATGATACGTAGAAAGTTATGGGATACTCAAAAAATTATGAGCCATAGTTTAAGATGTAGTTTTTGTAATTTTATTGAATGTTTGCATTTGAAGGGAAATATTGTTTTCTTTGATTGATTATTTTTGCATAAATTAGAGTTTTCCTATTAATTTCAGCATGAAATCTCTCAAGTTTTTAGTATTTCTTAAAATTGAAGACCAGTTTGCATAAATTAGTTGGTTTGTCCTCTAACAATGTATTGCAAGATTGTCTTCTAAGGGATCTCAGTGATTTTTCTCTCTTATTGGAAGTTTTGCTCATAGCTAACGAAGCTAGAATTGGTCTAATTAACAAATCATATAGATGATAATTCTCTAAATTATATGATTAAATATATCAATTTATATTTATTTATATGTTTTATTTTTCTAAAAAATACACATTTATATGATTGAAAAAAATGCATGTATATTGATTTAAAAATATTTATTCTAAAATAAAAAGTTAAATATTATTGTGGGTTATGTTGATTAAATAAAAATAATAATATTTAGATCTTCATAATGAGTTGAGATGTTTTCTAAAATTTATGTAATTTTGAGAATTTATTTTTGAATTTTACATAATTTTTTAGATTTTTTAAAGATGTTTCCTGAATTTTCATATTTATAAAAATAAAAAAAATAGGAGACCCACTAGCCAGCAACTACTCGGCAACTAACCTAGAGGGCACTACACAAGAGTGAGAAGCTAAGTCAATGAAGGTACGAGTTGAGGTCAAGTGTCTAAGGAGCCTACCCTAAGCACATGTGCATCACTCTCCTTCCACATCACTAGGGGTCAACCAAGCATAAGACAAGGAATGTCCAAACACACATGTGTATGTGGGGCTAGACCACCCATCTACTCATCCCCTCAAGTGCTCTTGGCCATTTTATTACTATTATAATGGATTTGATAGCTTCTTTAAGGCCAAACTTATATTCATGTGAAACTCAAGTAAATAATCAATGTAAAACTAAATTTCGGTGACACTAATTCAGTGAGCATAGATTGAGCAAGCAGTGGTCTAGACTATTGATTTGGTGGGTGCGGTTCAGCATGTGCAAGTTTGGCAAGCACTAGTTTGGTAGAGTCAATTGACTGTTGACCCCCTTGACAAATGGGCAACTTAGGTCCAAATCTTGCATCTTCCATAGGTTAATTTGATGGATTTAAAAGAGAAAAATGGAGGAAGATGGCGGAAGATGGTGAGAAATGCCCAAAAAAAATTCTAGAAAACTTTGGGAATAATTCGAAAAAATCAAAAAAATATTAAGAAAAATTGAGAAATATTATAACTAAACCAGTGATGATACATACATCATGATTTTTCTATGAATACTTATTTGACTTGAAATGAAACTCTGTTATTCATTCATGAATGATTATATATACTTAAAATATCAATTTTGATAGGAACTGAAGCACGAAACAAGAGTTAAAGATTGAAGATGAAAAATAAGAAAAAGTGGTTTAATCAAAACTAAATGAGGCTAGGAGGCACAGAAAAGCAAAGGAGAAGGTTAGAGAGCAAGGGAACAAAGACAAGGATTTCAGAATCAAGGGGGCTGCAATCAATAGAGTTCTTTGTGATTTTAGTTTGAATTCTTGTCTCATTTTATTTCTCTTTCTATTCTTCAGGTGACAAACATTGATAAAAAAGACTTTGATTTCAAATTCATTTAATTTAAGCAATTCGTTCTTCTCCTTTCCTTAGGTGATAGACAAAGAAAGAAGAAAACTTTCATTTTTGTTCCTAGTTTTCATCATTACGAATTTAGTTAAAATTCTGACATTAATTACTTTTAGTATCTTTATCATCCTTATGTCAAAAAAATAAAAATATATATTTTTATTCGAAGTTATAAGATTTAATTTTGATTTTATATTCTAATTAAAAGCTTTTTTAGTTATATAAGACTTTGTTGTGTAACAAACAACAAAGCCTTATTTTAGTTTTATAATTTATTTTTTATCAAAAATTTAGTTATTTTATTTTATCCTTGATTGACAACCAAAATATTTCTACCTTACATTTATTTAAATTTTATTTTATATCTTCATTTTAATTATTTCAAATAATTTTCCACATCAATAGAAGTCATTCTATTGACAACAACTCTTTTCATCTTTCCAATCAATCATTAATCTATTTTCCTTTATTCGTGATTTAATCATCTCATCATTGAAACTTTTAATCTATTAATTGACAAAAGATAATATTAAGTGTTGAAGAATGGATTTTATTACATCATTTTTCTCATCTCATTCCATCTTGTTCTTTTCTTTTTAGTAGGTATTTGTGTTAAAAAAAAATTAGAAATTCATCAAAACTACTCTCACCATCCTTGAGGATCAACCTGAACTTGCACTAATACTAGAATTTATGTAAAGAGTTCAATTGTAATCTTTGTTAAATTTACATGTATTAAAAATTAACAATTAATGCATGATCAGCACAGCTTAGGCGAATTCTTTGTCTCACCCATTGGGAAGCAAACCTATGTCTATTGAACAATCAACATTTTCAATTGATCTTCAACAAGTAGTACTGATGCTATGATCCTTCTTAAAATTTAATGTCCAACATACACCTAATTTTGCACAATGATAGAAGTCTTTATGAGAATTTTTGGCCTTTAAATATCTGAAGTTGGGATTTGTCATAACAATATCTACAAACCAAATTCTCAAGTAAAAGATAATTCACTTAGCAAGGAATCACAAATAGATTATCTCATATTTAAAAGCAGACACATTCATTTGTCTTCATCATCTTGTCCACAATTTCTTTCATTCATTCGATTAGATTGTAGGCTTACTACTTTCGTGATATTTATAATCATGTAGGCATGTCACACCACATTCCCTATGTTTATTAGATAAATTTTGGAAGCATACTATAACTGAAGGTTGGTCTCATTATTGGTTTCTTATTCATGTGCATACATTTTTTCTCTAGGAAGCATGTCATAACACACATTTGCTTCTCCTTATGTAGATGCAATTTTTTTCTTTGAAGGAATCATAAATAATTTCTCATTGTGAAATCCTCCTAATTTTACTTCTATTTTCTCATAATTTAGACAGATTTTGAATTTTCAAAGTGCTTATGCACAATTTTTACTCATATCAATGATCAAAGTTCATGTATGATTTTCTCACATTCCTTCTAAAATGTAATTTGTGTTGGCCATGTAGTAACTAACTATGAAACAAATAAGCATTTTTGCCTCATATGTCTTTTTAATGGTATTTCTTAGCTATTTTTTTATATCAAAATAGTTCATGACAATATTCCATTATGTGAAGTAAATCTATACAAGAAGTATCTAGAACCATTGAATCACAATTTTAGTGGTGATTGAGTCTGAAGCTATCTCTATTGTGTTATGTTGAAGTTATTGAGCTATCTCTATTAGTTGAAAACTACTCAACAATGAGTGAAGAGGTCTTTCTTTATAGTCATAGATTTTTATTTATACAATAACTAGTGCAAAATCATTTTAGCACACTCCTCTTGTGCAAGTTGAATTTTAATTTCTATTAGTTTTATTGTAACCTTTATGAGACTATTATAATGGCAAAACTACAATAGTGAGATATATGTTCCTCCATCTAGAGACTTGTGTCTTTTTCAAGATAATGACTTCATTGAGGCTTTGTTCCTCCATCTTTGTGTAGAGATGATGCAAATTCATAATGTAGTTAGCTTGTATTGGCGATAAATTCTTGTGCAACTTCATAATGCAACTTCATCTATAGATTAACTAATTTATTATATTGACATGAGAATGAGAATTTTGATTCCCATTCTATTCACATATTTTCAAGAAGTAATGTTTCCCTAGTTTTCAAGTACATAATTTTAATGTGTATCAATTTTTATCTCACCTCAAACTATGACTTTTAATCAAACTCTAGTTTTTCAACGAGATAAAATATAATGCCAATGTGATAAAAAGTAAGGAACCACCAATAACCATGATTCAAAAGGTGATAATAGTACAATTATTCATATTTATATGAAGCTCATACCTGCTTTGGATGTCAAATACTTCATGCAAGTATTTTTTGTCGAAGTTAAGATCTCTACTATACATCATAATCTCATAAAAGAAATATGAGGAACCTAAGGAAGTGGTTATGAAAAATTCAATTCATAAAAGATCAGATAGTGGGGACATTTTCAAACCAAATGACATAATAAGAAATTGATAATATATTTCATGTGTATAAAATACTACTTTAGAAATGTCATTATATTTCATATGAATCTAGTGATACCCCAACTCACATTTGACTTTAAGAAGATTATTTTCATATGTAACTCATCTAGTAATTTATCCACAATTGGGATAAGAGAATGATTTAATATCATAGTTGTGTTGAGGGCTCAACAATCTATACAAAGAGATCACCGTCATCCTATTTTTCACTAGTAATATGGGATTTGGAAAATGGGCCCATGGAAGGCTATAAGATTCCTACACCATATATGTCCTATACCAACTTCTTGATTAAAGATTTATGAAATGAGGATAGTTGTGTAGTCAAAACATTGATTGGTCTCATTCCTAGTTGTAAATAAATGACATGGTTAACTTCCTAGTAGCAATAGGCCCATTGGTGCAGCAAATACCTTGGGATATTTCACTTAAAGTCCTTGCATCAACTTATTAGATGGTATCTATTCACTAGTTTTATTCATTGCATAGTGGTAATTTTTCGACCACCCACTCTATTCCATACTGTAGCTTGTGAATGAGGAATTTCATTTCTATCTTTGATTCACTTAGACTTTGGTCACCTTTTAGTGTGATTAGGGATTCCTTCACATTGAATCAGATTGTGAGCGAGCTCTACTTGACTTTCATTGGACATAGCATCTTTAGTCACTATAGGCCAAAGATGATGTTACTACTTCTCTATTGTATTGGCATGTAATATTTGATTACCTCTAATTCATGCATATTAAGGATGCCTCATTTGTAAATTTTATTATCTCATATTGCCATGCCATTTTCCAATAGACCTTCCCACTTAGTTTGGTAGTCAATGAAAGCCACAACTCCTCCATTTGCTCATCAAATAATAAAGTTGTGGGTGGCCAAAATATTTATTAATATAATTAATTCATTAACTCTAATTATTTCTTTTAACTTCATAGTCCTTGGTTTGGTTAGTCTCATAATAGAATTCATAGATAACTCTACTTGAAGCTCACTTGTAATCTCTTGCACTTATATCAATTCATCTTTAGGTTTCATCTTGTCTTCCTAATCCTCTTGTAACACTATGAGTTATAATTCCTTGCTCCATTGATGTCCTAGTGTCCCTCATCACAGGAGAAAGATAGCCCTCCATTAGCTCTAATTTAGTTAATGTTAACCATCAACTGACCCCTCTAGACCTTTAGGTAGTGTTTGTTTCACCTATTGGATCTACCTCATATCCCATGCTTAACAATTGTACTCAGCAATGAGGTTGGACACCTAGTTCTTTCTCAAATTAACCAGATGTTATTTGCCGCATAGGCCTTTGATCTTGCCGACCTTGGTTCTGTGATTTCTATCGTCGATTTTGAGAGCTGAATTTCTTTCTTCTATTGCTTGAGCCATAGAGAGAGGAGAGAGAGAGAGAGAGAGAGAGAGAGAGAGAGATTGGGATGCTGTTCTTAAAATTTTGTGACAAGACTAATTCAATATGAAAAGAAACTAGCGTTTTGGGGAGATCATGACGATGATAAAACATTTATTAATAGATTTTTCCCATAATATACCACTACTGGGTAGATGGATATGCCGACCTGCCAGTGCTTGTCCTCAGCCTCCACGGTGGACCGCGATCCCCCTGCGGGGGACGTGGTACTCCTACCGGCGCCCGCGTAGCAGATACCCCGCAATAAAACGGGCCCCACCCTCGTCGCTCTCGTCCACAGCACACCGCACGCCGCCCCAGCGGTCAAAATCCGCCCCCTTATCTCCAGAACCCAATCCGAATCCTCCTCCCACCTCTCGTTCTTCCTCCTCCCTCTCACTACCCGACAACCCTCCTCCCCCATCTCCCTCCCTCCTCCCTCCTTCCCCACCCTCTCCTCCCTCCTCTCGCACCTGCAACTAGAGAGAGAAAGAAAGAGAGAGGTAGAGAGAGAGAGAGAGAGAGAGAGAGAGGTGGGGGGGTGGGAGATGTCCTGCTCGAACCTGACAATGTGGGCGTCGTCGAAGCCCTCCGTCCTCTCGGGTGCCCCGGAGGTGGAGGCCCTCGCCGCGAGAGCCCACGTCGGCGGCCTCCGCCTGGCGGCGGCGCCGCCATCTCCGGCGTCCCTCCGGCAGGGCACCCACTCCACGGCGGTCCACTGCGGCCTGCGGGAGCTCCGTGAGCGCATCGAGTCCGTGAAGAACACGCAGAAGATCACTGAGGCCATGAAGCTGGTGGCCGCCGCCAAGGTCCGACGCGCCCAGGAGGCCGTGGTCAGCGGCCGCCCCTTCTCCGAGACCCTCGTGGAGGTCCTCTACAACATCAACGAGCAGCTGCAGACCGACGACGTCGATGTCCCCCTCACCAAGGTCAGGCCCGTGAAGAAGATCGCGCTCGTCGTCGTCACCGGCGACCGGGGCCTCTGCGGGGGTTTCAACAACGCCATCATCAAGAAGGCCGAGACCCGCATCGCAGAACTCAAGGCCCTGGGCCTGGATTTCACCATCATCAGCGTGGGGAAGAAGGGCAACAGCTACTTCCTGCGCCGCCCTTACATCCCCGTGGACCGGTTCCTGGAGGGCGGTGCCCTGCCCACCACCAAGGACGCACAGGCCATCGCCGATGACGTATTCTCCCTCTTCGTCTCCGAGGAGGTGGACAAGGTGGAGCTCCTGTACACCAAGTTCGTCTCCCTGGTGAAGTCCGACCCGATCATCCACACGCTGCTGCCGCTGTCGCCCAAGGGGGAGATCTGCGACATTAATGGGAACTGCGTGGACGCGGCGGAGGACGAGCTGTTCAGGCTCACGACCAAGGAGGGGAAGCTCACGGTGGAGAGGGAGACGGTGAGGACGCCGACGCAGGCCTTCTCGCCCATCTTGCAGTTCGAGCAGGACCCGGTGCAGATACTGGACGCCCTGCTGCCGCTGTACCTGAACAGCCAGATTCTGAGGGCGCTGCAGGAGTCGCTGGCCAGCGAACTGGCGGCGAGGATGTCCGCCATGAGCAACGCCACCGATAACGCCGTGGAGCTCAAACGGTCCCTCTCCATGGTCTACAACAGGCAGCGGCAGGCCAAGATCACCGGCGAGATCCTCGAGATCGTCGCCGGCGCCGATGCCCTCACATAAATAAGCCCTCGTCCTCTTCCTCTTCCTCCTCATCCTCATCCTCGTCCTCCTCCCGCCGCTGGTACATGCTGCAACCAATTCCTTCGTCTGCCTTCTTTCTTCTTCCTCCTGTTGTTGCTGCTGCTGCTCCTCCTCCTCTCTGTGATTTCTCCATCTGCCTTCTTCCTCCTGCTGCTGGCGCTGGTACAGGCTGGGGCCAATTCCTTCGTCTGCCATCTTCTTCCTGCTCCTGCTGCTGCTGCTGCTGCTCCTCGCTGTGATTTCTCCATGGGTCTGCTGTCGTCGGTTGCTCTGATTCCTCCCCTCCACTCCAGATGAAGTGCTTGCCTAATAACAGCCTTTCCTCTATTCCAAGTAAAACAGCCAAAGAAAAGAAAAAAAGAGAAAAAAAACGGAAGAAAAAGAAGAAGAAGAAGCATGAGAGGGCGCCAATTACTCGGCGCTTTTGATGTTCTTGAGGAAACCCATCTTGTGTATTCATGAAACAGAGGATCTTCTGTTCGAAATGCTATCTTATTTCCCTTTGATCTCTCTCTTGCTTTCACTATCTTTGAAGAAAGTTACCTCATTTGGTCATATGGATCTTTATGACTGCGACGAGAAATGGTTGGAAAAGTTCTTCTTTGCATGCAGTTTGCTCGTGGAAATCATGCTAAAACCCTGGGCTTGATCGAGGGACGGGTTGAGATCCTCAGTTCATGTAGTTCTTGGGGGTGGGTATCTGGTTCTCTAGGCTTCCTACCCTAATAGAGACTTGCCTTCATTGATTACAAGATCCGGGATCTCCTGTTTGGGGCACAGAATTTTGGAGTCCGTGGGGGTGGAATCAATGAATTTCTTGATTTTTTTTAATTTATTTCTTCTACCCTTTTTATTTATCTGCTTTTTAGGAAATTCTTCTACCCTTTTAAACCTGTTCTATTGATGCAATCGTCTTTGATTCTCATGAAGTTACAGGAATGTTTTGTCTTTATAGAACAATGCAATGAAGAACGCTCACCTAAATAGGTATTTTCATTTATTTATTTTTAAATGAAATAAAAATCAGATTGTGAATCAATCCTGTGGGGGGTGAAAGATAGATAACGAGTGGGGTATTTATGCCGTTAGATTTTCCCGCTGGGTGTGGAAAATATTAATTTGTATTTCTTATACCCTTTTTATTTATCTGCTTTTAGAAATAAGTACCACTTTTAGTGTTTAACCATATAAAAAAGATAAAATTCTACGTATGTTAGAAAGCATAGTACCCGCTCTATTGCTGCAATTGTCCTTTTGACTCTCATGAACGTGCATGGATGTTTGTCTGTATAGATCAATGTAATGAAGAACACTCACTTAAATGGGTGTTTTTATTTTTTGAAAATGAGAATAAAAATCTGATTATGAAAATTTAATATATGGGGATTATTTTTGCAAAAATATACAGATTTTAAGCCAAGCTTGTCATATGAAAGGGCACAAATGCAAGAGACTTCCTAAACTCAAGATTCATTGCAATTATATATGGGAACTATCCGAAGATGTTTGACTCTTAGACAATGGATTATTCTGTACCCATTATTAATCTGATACTCATATAAATAAATAATTACAAGTAAATTATGTGAATATGTCGTTAAACAAATACCACAAGAACATGCTCATAATTGTAAGTGCACTTGTCAATCCACTTTTTATTTTTATTTTTATTTTTATTTTTAAAAACAAGAATCCCACAAAGCTTGCTAACTCGGTTACTTCTTTATCATGCAAAATCTTTGAAATTTTCAAATCTTTAGCCGTGATATTTTTTCCTAGTTACTAAGAGCTCTAATGGGTTCTTGCTAGATAACATAAAAAAAAAATCACCAAAATTTGCATAAATAAAAAATTTCCAACTTCTTGCCACATCAACCATATGAGCAAGTTGAATCTATGCCCCTTCTAGATATCCCCTTACCTTTATCGACATTTAGTCCCTTTTAATCACATACCTCTATTTCTCTTCATACAATTCTGGAAGTAAACTTTGGAATTAGAGGAGGGTAACGCAGCTTAAGTTCAATATTATGTACCATAAATGATCTGTTGATCAATTTGACTATTCATGCTAATTTTAAAGACTGATAAGAAATTGTCCCGTATTGGTTATTATTAGAATCTGAGATCATATTTTATCAACCGGTTAGAGATCGACGGCCATTCTCACTTTCTCCTTAAGACCTGCATGGAAGACTCTACGATTCCCAATTGGGGGGAAGGGGGGCTGCAACAGGATCTTGGTCAGCGCATCATGTCAGATAAAACTTTCTTTTTCTGGTTTTCTTCTTCCCTATGGCGCAAACCCTCCCAATGGGTTTGCAATACAGTTTTAACAAGGTCAAGTCAACAACGACCAGTTTCCAGTAACCTTCTAGAGAGAGAAAATAAATTCTGAAATATAATCAAACAATGGATGAGTTGCGCAAAATTGTCTCCCCACAGTTTAAAAACCAGGGGATAAAAGGAAAAAGGCAGAACTTCTAGGAGTTGAGATTACAGGGAAGAAATGAGAAAAATGAAAACTTAATGGAAGATTTTATGAAGACTGAGAATCATACTTGATTGTGTCAACATCTCTGTGGGAAGAACTGTAAACACTGTACTCACCAAACTCCCGCCAACCCCTGCCAAGATGATGCCACAGCATCAAAAAAAAAAACATGCTATGAATGATACCATTCCGAATTAAAGATTGATAATTATCGAAATTTCCTTCATAAAATTCATCATTTGTCTGTCATTTAAATCCTACATTGGATATTTCGATACAAAGAAGAACTTGGTCAACTCTGGCAGGAGTATTCAATGCCATAAAATAAAAATAAATAGAAGAGAAAACGGAAAACAAGCTCAGCTCCTGGAGTGGGTAGTTTTCAGACAGTAGTCAGATTTAGGAGAAGAGAAGCTATCATGAGGAGGTTGGATTCAGGGAGAGGGAGAATAGAAAATGTGACACAAGGGTCATATTGCAAAGGCAGAATATTATCTGAACCATGGAACTAAAGTCAACCCAAGTCCAATCGTAATTGGCTGCATCGGAAACACGATCCTACTTTCAAGCTGATGGAAAATAGGGAACCAGATGAAAATCATTCAATGTCACTCAAGACTGGACAGTTTCTGCCAGGCTCCTCACCTTTGTAGTATGTCATTTTAATCCATGATTAGCTGACTACAATATAAATATTTGACGTTGTAAAAACACTGATCCTTCAAAAAAAATGTAAACCTCCCGGAATTCTCAACAGGATCTCTTCCATTACCAACGAAGTAAAGCATAGACACCAGTTTTCCCCAAGATTTTTCATTAAAAATAGCCCTAAATTCGATCATGAAATGTAGACAACGGGCAGCAGGAGAAATAACAAACAATTATCCATGCATGGGATTCGTAAACACCCATCACTATGATGTTCATCGGAAGATTCAATTGATGCCATTTTTTGCACTCAAAGGAGAAGAAATCTGAGACAATCTGTGTACTGAAAAAGGAAATCGCCATTTTTATGGAAAGGCTAGCTCAACAAAGCCAGTCAACTTGTACCTGTGCATTATATCCCAGCCAGAAGGAAGGAATCGAGGACGAATGGCGTCCACAAACACTTGTCTCCATCTCTGGCAAAACTGAAGAACGCCATTATCACCCTGCTCCTTCAATAGATGTTCTACCACCTGCTTCCCATGAGGCCCATGCCCTAGTAATGATACTTTCTTAGAACGTTTACTACTAGTAATATGATGAAGTTCAGAGGAGGCGACTATGCCAGCATCATTAGCTGGCAGGTCGTTGCTTTCAACATCTTCAGGTGTGCAAATACTGATTCGTTCTTGCTCAATTGCATTCTGCTTGGCACACGAAGAAGTGAGTTTTTCATTCCATGATTCTATACATGGCATTTGTTTTCCTCAGAATGACAAAAAAAAATCAAAGTCCAAATGTTGAGAAATAAAATTACAGATAATATATATATATATATATAAAGACATTAAAGCAATAATGTGTAGCAAAAACTTATATTAAAAACTCTATTGACAGAAAATAAGGACCCAAAATTAGGACTCTGACGACTGAAATATATTTTGTACGTCAAATCTTATATTTGAAGGCATGAAATAAACAGCGATGTTAGGCAAAAAAAAATTAATTTTTTTGTCGAGAATTTAAATATTCCATGGTACCAGATGGACAACTACCCACCATAGCCTCGCAGGGTTTTATAGGAAGCCCCCTTTTCTTCTCAAGTCGTCTTCTTTCTCGAGGGCTCATACCAACAAGTAATACCGTTTCCAGGTCTTGTTCAGATATTTCTCTCCCTCCAAAGTATGTTTTCACCGTCTGCACGCAGCAAAGAAGAGCATCCAATGAGGCAGACGCTTTTGCTGATGGTAGACTTTTCATAACGTTGAAATTGAAAGGAAAATGGACTTTAAGGTCGCGTGCAGAGTAAAGTACTAAATGGCGCAACGTGTAAAAGATATTGATAGATAAAGAGCGATTAATCGAAATTCTTTTTCCACCAAAAAAACGTAACTCATTTGGACTGATAACTCTAGTTGGGTAGCTTTGAAAGAAATTAGATGGAAGAAACAGGAGAAATATGATCCATAAAAATTTTAAAAAGTAGAATTTAAAGTTGTTATATAACATGTAAATAATATAAAATAACATAAATATAATCAATCCTACAAAATGCTTTTACATAAGTAACCAGTTTTAGCCCATCGCATCACAATCAGGCCCAACCAAGGCCATTATTTCTGACCCCTTGATGGAGACAATTCAAGCTCAGTGGCTGAGAACATGATGACTACAGTGACACAAGAGGAAGCAAAAGAGGAAAGGATGAGAGAAAGGTGGCATTGCTATGGTGGAGGTGGCACAAGTGGCAGTAGACGCCAGTCTGCCTCCCTACCCTGTGTCTCACGCAGCCCCCAATTTCAAATCAAAAGAAATCATCATGCTTGCCTATGGAATAAATGCTTGGATTCTTCCAGTTTAGGGACTACATTATAATTGCAACGAAGAGATGGAAAAAAAAAAAAGACGCACCATTTCCAAAGTTCCCAGCTGGACTACGCCGAATGGAACGATGGGCACGAACAGAATTGCCTGAAATGGTCCCGGCGCAAAGGCCCAGAAATTAATTTCACAAGTGCGCATATTTGGCCACATTGTTTGAGAATGTCAATTGGACGGGCCTGGGCCGAACCTAACCAAACCTAAAGCCGAGCCTAGAGATCCTGGTGCTCGGAATAAGAAGTACAGACTATCCAAAATGGGGTTCTCTTAATCTTTAGAAAATCTAAGAAGTGATTATAAATTAGACTTAGATCGAATTTTAAAGAGAAGATTTAAGAGGAAATTAATTCTACATGCGAATGAGGGTAACGAATCTGATATAAAAATCCTTCAATGTTCATGAAAATTTGAAAATGTATAAATGTATATATGTATAAATTTGAAAATGTTCATTGCATCTAGACTGAGAAGCCTTAAAACTTTAAAGGAAACAAGATCTTTAGGTAATCATGAGATGTGCAATACAACTATGACGACAAATGAATCCTAGAGGAGATCCACCCCTCGGAGCCCTTTATCCAAATGTGTCTAGCCAGTTTGGCTGGCCGATCCAAGCCCATCCAGGCTGGGCAAAGCTAGAAAACATCCCTGCAAGTGACTGAACCGATAGCTATTTTCTCGCGTTTACACATTTGAGTACATTTGTGAAAATTGACAGCGTTAGAAAATAGAAGGATAAAAACCTAGAGTTACAAACGTGGCCACCCTCCTCTTTTATGTATACGTAGAGAGATGAGAGAGGAGAGAGGAGCAACACGCATTAGATATAATAAGGGCCTAGGGGCCCATATTGTAAGCCACCAGCATAATAACAAGAAAATGGGCCTATTCTAATAGACTTTCTGATGGTCAGGATAGATGTCTCCGTGAGTTGATACAAAACTTTCAAAAAGTTAACTTCTGGTTGACAGATCAATACAAAAAAGAGGGAATGAGCAATATGTGTCACCATGTCATCAAAAGTTTGGGCTGATAATGTCTCTAATTAGAAGACATTTAGGCAAAAAATGCAATGTGGATGTAGCTAAATTATTGAAAGAAACTGTTCAAAATGACAGTCTTTTACCTTCAAAAGCTCCTCTCGTCGATCTGCAGGCATTTTTGGCCCATGGCGAACTAGAGCCATGGCTGCTGTCCGTAACTGCAAAGGAGACACACCTACCTCCTCTAGCCCTGATGCTACAGTTAAGCTTTCATTTTCTCCTGACCCAATTACTTTCCGTACAAAGAGTGGAACTTTAAACTCGGACGCAACCTGTCTTTTATATTTTTCAGCAGCAGCATGGGCGATTTCATGACAATCCACGCAGAGAAGGACAATATCATGAGACCGATGGCTTTTCAAACGCTCAGGGAAGTGCACTCTGTAGCACGATGGTATGATGCGATAACGTAGATAGTGATTCTTTTCACCACAGCCAACACACATGTTCTTCTTACTTTGGATGTAGAACACATTGTCTTCATCTTCAGGCCTGCCTTTGGGTTCAAAAAGAAGCATTATAGCAAGAGGATCGTTCTCAATAATCTTAGCCAGACCCCTGCGAAGGTACCTGGCATTGCATATTGTATTAGACGGCTTGACTAAGAAAAAGAGTTTCAGTAACACAGGTTCGGTTTCATAAATGCAAAATCAATTTAGAACGGACTGACCATTCAAGCTTTCTATGATCAGAGTAACAGAGAAGTCGGCCATCGCTAGCAAAAATCCTACAGTTGTGGTAAACAGGAGCTTTGCACGAGAATTTCTGAACAAAAAGCTCACGGGAAGCCTTGCGACCAACCAATGCAACAGGGTTCCCTCCGCATTGCTTCTGAAAAAGTGCACTTGACACTTTTAACTCCAATAGAAGAGCATAATTATATATGGATATGGGACAATGACCGTTTGGATTGAGATGCATTTGAAGAATTCTTCTGAAAATATCCTCTGGACTCTGAGATAGTCCTTGAATAAGAACACAAAGTTCCTTCATATGGGTCTTAACAACGTGGGATGGAGACTTTAGGATTGGAGACACATCAGCTGAATTAATACTTGAACCAGCGATAATAATTAGGTCACAGATTTCTTCTTCTGTCTGAGGAGCATTAATCCCAAGATAGAAAATTGCTTGATCTGATAATACATATTTAATGCTTTCATCATGAATCCGAGCCTGAAGATAGGTAAAAATAACAGCAAGGTAGCATCACGGGGAAAGAACATGGACAAAGAGATGTCAAGGTAAAATATTGAAAAGCGAATAACTAAAGCCGATCAAATATTGTTATTTTAAATTATATTTGAACTTCTCAATCAAAATCAATGCATGGAAACCTTCAATCTCAATCAGTTCGGGATAATTATCAACAATAATAGAAGAGTTCAAATGATATTCTTAAAAGCATCATACATTTGAATAAGTATAGGATATGTTAATTTCTAAATTATTTGGAACCTCTCCTCAGCCGTCCACAGTGCAACAAGAAAGAAAATATAGCTAAATGGAAGTATAAACACTACACCAGGAACTTCAAGTGGCTAAAAAATATCAGAATTCAAAGTCGTCTATTCAAAACTTAAACATAGTCTGTATTATACCATTGGATACAAGAAGATCAATATGCAAACCAAGCAAGTTAAAAGAGGATTGATTAGGAGAAAGGCCGTGATAACATTCATTCGAGGACTCAAGTGGACAGTCTGCAAATCATATCACCTGTGTCTAATTCAGTCCGAATTGGGATCACAATTTGGCGAAGAATCAACAGATCGTTGTTACGTGGTCAACGCTTGTATGCAAAAAGAAATGAAGATCAGAAGCCCACCCCATGAACAGTAATGATGAGAGCCATATTATCCAAATTGGCTGAATCAGATGGTAATCAACTGATTATTGTGACCAGGTTTGCTAACATAACTATTGGAGGTACACAATCAGTCTACTCTCGTCAGTAAACCTCCCATGACTTTTGCATCCCACGTATAGAAGAACACTGTGATCTGTTATGATAACATTTGACTGTCTACAACTACGACAAAATTATGAATTAATAAAATTTAAATAAAATACAGCCTTGTATTAGTATATTTTCCTACTGTACCACTCACAATAAATAGTTCTAAAAGTCCCTTGACAAGAATGATGTGCCTTTTTATGGTTCTAAGTTAGGCACTGATAGTCTATTTTATGCTATGATCATCCTTTTTAGTGCAACACGTCAGAACTTGATCTTCAACGTGGATCGGCATGTTTATATCCCACGGCTCTGCAACAGTGCATGGTATGAAATGGGATGACACTTAACACAAAAAGATTACTTTGAACATGCAAACAAGTCTTCTTAAGGACAAGGAGAAATCAAGCGTTGAATCTTTAAAGGCATTTGAACAGGGAGAGCATGCAAAACATCTAATAGAAACCGCAATCCCTTTCTAGCAGCAGCGTACGGTATAAGTATGTGTAACGACTAGATATTGAAAGATTGGTACCATCAAGCTTCCATGCTTGTCAACATCTAGATGTTTATTTTCTGTTGTTACAGCCACGTAAGCTGCCATAACTTTTCAACATCTTCACAGCCAATACCAAAGGTATTCATACGCATATCATGAAGAGGGACAGGTAAGATGATAAAAAACTTTAATTTGACAGAATTACCCACTCAAGAAAATATGTTCTGGGGTGCAGGCCAATTAAATTAGAAAAGATTCTTCTGGATCTTGTTTCAGGTGATCAGTGCAGAAAGAGATATATGGACCAATGCTGAAGTTTGCCATCGCTAGGTTGAGTACTTGCAATTAACTAGGTTAGTACTACTGTGAATGTGTCTATGCTATTTTCTTTGACTGGCTTCATCATCAACATCTTCAGTGCCTCTGTATACAACAGGTATATGTCGCCTCAATTTATTCTCCATTTTTTCATCAAAGAAATTCTTGTCAGTGGAGAACCCAATCCCATCTCAAATCAGAGCCCCAATTCTGGCTTCAAGATGGAAAACCTGGCCTTCTAGGAAAGATAAGAAAAAAAAATGCAAATATTCTCAGTAAGCAAGCACATCTTCTCTTGGGGATTATTCTAGCTACAGCAGGCTTCTTTTGCCTTTCTATCATAGGGCTGAAGAAAATCCTAAATAAAAAGAGAAAGAGTATAAGGTTGTATGTCCAACTGATAGAGGAATCTGAGAGAAGAGTGCACAACAGAATATAAATAATGCACCCTTCAAGTTGTGCCATGACAGATGATTTGAACAGTGATCATACAAGAGTCAGATGATTCTGGACGGATAACTTGATTCCTAAACAGTTTGAGACTGTAAACTCAAGCCCAATAGAGATTGGATTAGAACTGGACAATACAGCCACCTGATCTGGTTCTGGCAACCATGGTACCGGCACAAGTGATGGAGCCCACGCCATCTCCATCACCTCATTGTCAAAGCAATACAGAAGTGTCTGTAACTTTGAAACCATGTCCTATTCTCTTCTGTTTGATGCTTGCACCACCTTATATGCCGCCCACATTTGCATAGTGATTTAAACCTTTTCTGATCCAGAACCCTAAATTCCTACTGACTTTCAGATCTAAATTAACAAATTTCTGAGGTAAATCATAACTATGCACATTATTATTCAGCATACATGACCCTCTGGTTCCTTTTGCATTTGAGCTTAAACATTCCTTCTCTTTCCACTAAATCATGAATTTACTATTCATCCCATTAATTCCAACCCTAGATAAATATGTATGCGACTACTGCTAACTGTTCTATTTACTTCGTTCAATCATTTATACGTTTCAATAATGTTTGAAGAGGTTACACCACACTAATATTTTACTCATTTACTTCCTGCCAGAGATTCCCACGTGTATCAAATAAGCATTAACCAGGAATATACCAGATATGAGCATTGCATCTCAATCAAACTATGATGCCCTTCATTCAGGCAAGCAAGTCCACCTTTCTCTGCACAATTTCACAGAACACATACATAACTCATTCAACAATGAAAATGGATAACTCTTATAACCAAGAACTTGAAAGAAAGCTACCAAGGGAAATTATGCATTGAGTCTAGGATGAGTTTAAAACTCCAAAACATGACACACAAAAATGATCTTAAAGCACCAGCCAGAGAAACATTTAAACTATAGATAGACCAGTAACGGGTCCAAAATCCTAAGAAATAAGCCATTTGAATAAAAGGGTCCATATAGTTGCGTAACTGACCATCAAGTCTCTCCATATGCACAGTCGCCTTACCAGTTCCTGACAGTTGTAAATAATAACTATTATCAATAAATGAGCAGAATATAATAGAACAACAAAAACACTCTTACCCTAGCTTCATGACTCTTCCTTGAATTACATTCGTAAAGATTAGAATACCGTGACAATATAGATGCAGCTGTGGACTCCATGCCAGAAGGTTCGGTGTCTTTTGAATAAAGTTGCAAGCATGCACTGTTAGAACGACAGGTAGCCTCCCGGACAAGGTCTGATTCGTCATCTACACAAGTTGAGAAGTGAAATGGAAATTCTCAGAAGTTTAAAGATGGCATGATAAGAGGCAGAGCTGAATTCATAACTACATAGAGCCCCTTGAAAGAAAGATAATTGGGTAGATAAACCATAGATAATCCATGGCCAGCCAAGGGGATTTTGCCAGTATAAGCCTAATCCTTCTTACGTGATAAAAAACCAAAATGATTATTGTATGTAAAAATAGTTGCAAAATAAGAAGGTTTCTGCACATGACATAACTTTTTAGGATGTCTAGATTCACTAAAGATAAAAATCACTTCCATGCACAGGTACTGTTCAGGAGCTTTTACACTAACAGCCCAACTCCTTGATTCAACTAGGATGGAGGTGCGTGAAGCCATTTATCACACTAGTGAACCTGTTTTAAGAAAGATGGAGAAAAGAACGAGCGCAGTGCATGGAAAACCTGTGTTTAAGGATGAAAGATCAGATTAATTCATAAACGATGTTACAGCTTGTGAGTAGACGTGCAAAGAAAAATGTGTATAGGAGCTTTCTAAATGTAGAAGATGCATGTCTATATAAGTCTGTCAGAGATGAATGAGAGTAGAATGTTTCACACAGACCTTTGGGGAGCAGGCACCAATCATGCTTAAATCACGATTCTAAAAAATTGAATCAGTCTCATGCGTTTGAAACAAGTAAGACCGACCTGTTTTAAGCTAGGATTAGTAAGCAGAAAATAAATTGTCAATAACCAGTCAAGAACAGAATCACATGTTTCAAGGGAAGAACTCATGACTTCTATGAACAAGAACGGGGATCAAGATTGAGATTAAAAAACTCTTAACAGGGGAGTGTTAATAATCAGTTAACGTTTCCTAACAATGACAGAGGACTGAATTGGCGTAAAAATAAATTGTTTTATGACAAATGACTCTAAAAATAATTACTAGAGACTATTTGATGTTCATCTTCTCTTTGATGTTACGACTTTCTACAACGACCACTCTCTTCCTAACAGGTAAAATACTGCATCTCTAGGGTATCCCAACAGTTTTCACCATTAAAAAACAGATTCCAGCCCATTAGTTATGGAAGTTGTCAGGATTTCTAGGCTTGAATCTAAAAGCGCCCCTTCAAATATCTCATGTTGCTCTTATAACTAGGAGCCGGAACCTGATGTCTGAAAAAAAACTTTTGAACGAACTTGATGGTCCTAATTCTTTCTCTCAGAGGCTAGTGAAGGTCTTTCTCTGGTGTCAAAACTAGACCCTAAAGCGTGAAGGTTGAGGATTAGTTCTTCCTTACTTGATCCCTAGCATTTTAGGTTGTGTAGGATCTCTACAACTCCGAGAGGAGAATTGGTAGACTGCTTGCGCCAAAATCGTCAGCTACAAGTCTCTGTCCACGGGTTCACCTGCTTCAAACTCCATGCAGGCGATCTGCCTTTGCTTTTTGCTATCAAACAGTTTTTATTATTGGTTATACTTGTCTCTAAGGCCCCACTGGGCCTACCTACTAATTCCCTATTCTAGCCCACCCTTACACATCAAAAACAACGACCCTAGTCAGAGGAAGCTTCCATGCTTACTACGATCTAAGTCCAGTTTCAAAAGTAAGGCACTCTGAGAGACCCTAAATCCAGCCATAACCTTACAGCGACTACTCGAGGATATTTACTTAGTTAGCTAACCTTCATTTAAATTGAAATTTGCTGATTCTTATGAAAATCAGTCACATGGATGGACTGTCCGGCATCACAAATATTATGAGCTTCTTCTTAGCTTGGGTTCCTATGACCTTGCTAGAAGGTCTAAGGACGGTATTGTAAAGGACTAAGGGTATTATGAGAAAGTGCATGTAGGGTTCGTCCTTATTTAAGGGACGTTAAAGGAAAATAAAGAAGTGAGGCAGTTTCCTCCATTCGTCCCCTGTCCTCCGAGACAGAGGAAGTTTATCCTCCATGTTTGTGTTCTCTGTGTCTTTTTTCTCAACACACCCAAAAGAAATATTAGGCTATGTTGTGGAGAGTTTCACAAAGGAGAGCCCCTTTCATGACCACCTGACTCTTGTCATTTGTAATATTTGAACCACTTCTAAATTACGAGTCAAAAAGGAGGAATTTAAGGAAAGTTTGTTCCTAGAATGCCCAACCTTATTACAGATTGGCAGAAACAACCCACAAAATCAGGTATTCAATATTATTCCCCAAGTTAATAGAGAAATTATATACATGTTGGCATCAATAATGGGTATTCAAAGAGAATCACAAGGAATGGCAGTTTGTCCTGCATTTAAGGCAACCTGGAACAAAAAGGAACAAATAAATATCTAGAAGGAAGAGCATCCAGCCACTATTATTTTCAGAAGAATGAAAGATTAGGCTACAGACTTTAGTACTGATGAATCACAGCTTGATTTTGGGAGAGTTGAGTGTTTCGTCTGAACGGTCCAATCTTCATCACCTACGGGTGGGACTACAGATCTCGTATAGTTACCTCTTTTTTTTTTAAAAAAAACATTAATGCATATATGATATTTAACCATTTTCTCGAAAATAGAGTGGACAATGACAATATGCAGTAAACTATCACAAACGCATGCCACTATCTTCCTTCCCACTCAAAAATGTTCAACACTGAAAAAAAAAGTTGGAGAAAATCAGAGGTAACTTGGAAAGGGAGGCAGGAGCTGTGGATTTTACTTAGGGCAAGGAGGTGTCGTAATTGGATGTAACTGATAGGGTGAGAGCGAGAGAGAGATAGAGATAGAGATAGATAAGTAGAGAGAAAGAGAGAGACAGAGACAGACAGAGGTCACATATGCATGTACCCTTCAGAAGAAAATAGAATGTACAAAATGTTACAATATGCTCTCAATGAAGCCCTCATACACATAACCATGGTTTACACCATGATGATGGCAACAATTATAAGCCTCCTGCCCTTTCAAATCAAATGAGTACTATCTTTCCTACTGACAAACGTTGCAGCTCACTCTCCGACTCTATCACATATGACAATATCACCAGTTCTAATGACTATCTCTGCCCTCGAAACCTACGACTTTGCGTCTCATTTCAAATAGCTCAAAATGTTGAACTTAATATAAGCCACAATGCCTTGTGATCAACCTCAAGCAGCCATCGTGGACTTCAAAAGCTTCAGAGCTACCTGCACGACTTCAGGGAGATATCATCCCATACCAATTTAAAGAAGTTGGAATTTCCATATCCCCATTGAAGCATGAACACCCAACAAATTGTGGTCCAATAACTTCTCTCAATATAAGCCATAAAAGCGTCCCATCATGCATGAAATGGGAGAGCAATCAAACGTGGATAATAATCTCTCATGTGAGATTCTCCACACCAGAATCATCACACTCATAAGAGAAGCAATGACTTAGAAAAGGCAATATTTCGGATTACCGAACAAGCACTGTTTTCTGCACATTCATGTAACTTTTGGGCTAATCAAAAGAGGCTCATAATATATGCTTCGGAAACCCCAGGTGTATAGAGTCTATCAATGTTAGTATTAAATGCATTATGTATAAAAAGGAAGTTCTGATTTTCTTCTGCAGGGAAGAGCATCAAACCATCATTAATCATACAAATAATTAATGTAAAATTCACACTGGACTAGGACAGGTCCCATACCGTGACTTATTGTTTTGAGCTCTTGAACTAAACAATCGGCAATGTACAGCAGGTAGTGAGCATCAGTTCGTGCATACTGAACCATCCCAAGAGACAAAGGCCGCATTCTCCAGTCTTCTCGCTGAAAAGTTCACGCAACAAATAAGCAAACAAAATATTCTTATAACATATAATGACTCAAAAGGCTAGCAGGAACTAAAGTTATTTTTCCCCTTATACACAGATCCAATGAGAACTGCACAATAAAAAATATATAAAAATCTCAACGTGGATAATGAGGATACTTGTAACTTATACCGTCAATCAACTGGTTGGACCAAGCAAACTACAAGGACTATGATACAATCGCCTTTGGAAGGATCGGATCTGAGTGAATTAGGAGAGAACAATTGTATTGATGCTCAAACTCGGGGCAATGTTGTAGAGATAGAATGTCATGATGACAGTTCTATCGAAGTACAAGAAAAGAAAGAGGGAAAGAAGAGTAAAAGGGTGGGGAATGAATTCCAGAGGATTCCCCTGCCTCTCCTAGTTCCGAATCGTTCTCCCCTTAATATATTCCTCCAAGGTTTATTTATAGTCCTCACACGTGCTGTGCAAGTGTCCCCCTCTTATGCCTTCTATATGTTAGTAATGGGATCATAACAGAATATTACGATTTAGAACCAGAAATTGCATACTTTTGAAATATTAGAATGTTAAAAGGGACATGTCTAAAGAATTTTCAGGAGTAAAGTCATAATTATATAGACAGAAAAGGGTACAACACTGGTTGTCATGCTGTATCAGAATATATGATAAAAGGGAGGCCAAAAAAAACACTAATTTTAGGAAACAACAATATCATTTTTTTGATTCATCGGAACATGATTTTTTAATTCTGATAATAATTGGCGTGAACAATACAAAAAACCAACCTGGAGAGTTTTGTCAGTGTGCACACCGCAGTAATTCTCCAGCAAATATGCCAGTGATTTTTGAGGCTTTGATAGCACCAGACATGCCTATATAGTAGAGAACAAACTATTCAAAACAAGAACATCGAGCAAATGTTGAAGTGTGCCGTAAAATTTCTACGATAGCCTCCAGACAACCAAAATGTTGAATCACAAGAATATTTCTCACCGAATATGTTGTCATCCATTCTTCTCTACTTGCAGAGAAATTTTATCGAGCATGCTTAATTTACAATGTATGCGACAACCAATAAAGTAATGATGATTTAAATGATACTATAACCTAGCTATAAATTTGAAAACTTCTAAATCCAGAGAGTAACCCAGATGTTCCAGAGTTTCAGAGTCTGCCTCAACTGGTTCTGACCACATAAGAGGTCGTCTTTCACCCCTAGAAGGGGAGGGGCACACTGAAATTGTGTGACGCTGATCAATCTTCAAAGCCATACCCTGATTGTTCTTTAGCTCAACTTCATGACGCCCAGAAGCATCACTCAAAGTTAGGTTAGCTTTGAAACATCCGAAAACAGAAGCGTATTCAGTTTTTGAACTGTTTACGTACTCATCTTTAGTGAACAATTATATTGACGCAAACCAAACAAGAATAAACGATGGGGAAAAGTTTCTGTCATATCAATTCATAGAAAAACGTCTGGTTATACACAATTACCCTGGCCTCAAAAAAGAAAAACTGTCTAGGTTGAATCCCATGATTTATAGGATACGCAACCAAATTAGGAAACTGACAAACAACCTGACCCTTAATTATACTTCTTTCACATAGTATTCTCCACCTCTGTCTCATGTAGAAACAACTATGCACAAAAACCTGGTTTTCCATGCCAACTTATATTTTATGTCCACACAACAGTTAAATTATTAACCAAAAACCAAATTTCAAAAACATTTCCTCAAACGAAGAACACGTTTGCTTAAATAACCTGCTAAGTTTCTCAACTGTTTTGACCTTATATAAAATGTGGTCAAAGACGTTCATGCAGTTAAGCATATCCCTATTCATAGATTAATAAAAGATGTCCAAAACAGGTGCCAAAATTCTGTCTCAAAAGAAAAAGATACTGACAAAATAGACAGAATTTTGCCCCAAGTTTCTAGTAGCATTATAATTTTCCGCAGCATGAAAGTACAGTGTGACTGGCACACAAATTCCATGCAATATGTGGGCAACTTAGAAATGACTCAATATTAAATGTGCACAAGAATACTCAAATGATCCTTATTAAAAAAAGGCAACCATCGCAGGATTATCTACCCCGTTAAATCCTCCATTAATCTCACTTGAAGTGAAACGTAAAGTATTCCAGAAAAGTACTACTGCACTCCTTATCATGATGCCCACCATTATCATGCACATAAGATCTACATACATAAGTTGTTAATTGGTTACCTTAAGAATACACATGAATGAATGTTGATAGCAATTCGCCTTAGTTCCATACCAAGTTCCAACAAGCTCAAAAATATTAGTGGCAAAACTAAAGTCACAGTAAAGAGGAAGAACTTAATATAGAGCTCTCAGCTCAGAAATGAACGTTAAAAGCTTGAGTAGGCATCCTGTAAAGATGATAAAAAAAAGATCAACTGATGACTCATTTCCCTCTCTCATTACAGAATATGAAACCACCTAAAGCAGTAAGGATCATCATGAGCATTTCCGTCACAACAGAGCACATGGCATTTTGCCTCTAGACGGAAATCATGAGATTGTTTTTCATGCATTATGCAGAGAATTGTCCTTCACGCAAGCCAAGATTTAAAAATCAACCAGGATCAAGTTAACCTTATTGCAACTATAGTAAGAGCAGAAATTCTATGGTCCCTTGTGCAATGAAATGGAATGCAAATTCTGAATCATGCATAAAAATTGAAATCATCATGGTTATGTGCACATTTTACAATGTATAACAGTGAGCAAGTCAACTGCTAGAAATATCCCGAACTATGATTCAGTACAGCACCTTGATTCAGGGGAAGTCAAGAAACAAAGAAACACTTTGCTGACAAAATAAATCAAATAACGCAGAAATAAACAAGGACAATTTGTTGTTTAATTTAACAGCAACAAAAAGCTAGGAGATGGCTGAATTGACCAATCCATGTGGATTTCTAACTGCTCGACTAGATTATAATAGATGTTGATTTAACCAATCCTAGTGGACTTCTACTAATCAAATACCGTATAATGTTAACTACCTTCTTTTCCTCTGGTTTTTCCCATTTTCCTTTGACCAAGAGATTCAACCCTTTCTTATTATAAATTTCTGTTCATTTCCCCTCAGTTTCAAGGGAAGTAACAAGGTCGTTCAGATGTAAATCCAATAATAACGCTAATAATGACAGAAGACACACTAGCAGCAAACCGTGGAAAAAGAGGAAGACAAAAGGAAACGTATCATCCCTGCATCATAAACCCCAGGGGTTTCTCTTCTATTTTTGGTGATGACACGTGTAGGCTGAAAAAAACACCACCCCCCTTCTCCCTCCAAAAAAAACCCATCCACCCACCCATCTAACACAAATGGAATAGCTGGAGAATACTAGGGGAAACCCAACGCACAAGGCCAGCTGGGTTTCACACTTAACCATGCATAGTCCAAACTCACCTTTGCTGTATCAAACAGATTGATAACATAAATATGGAAGTCCCTCTGAAGCCACAGAATATCATTATCAGATCCATGGAAGACCTATATCAAAAAGGATCAAATAATCCTACAGTGAATCCTTTTGTAGTAGTTTCAAAATAAACAATAAAAAATATATCTATATATGAAACTTAAATCAAGTTAAAGCACTATAGTAGCAAAAACATTCTGACGACACAAATAGTAATCAAAGGGTCTACAACACATAAAAGACAATACATTTAATAGACATTAAATATAATAATTAAGTTTTGATCGACCAAAATACCATATTCATTGCATCCATCCATTTCAGACATTGTGTGAACTTTGTCCCAGTATTTCTGGGCCAACTGTGTAAGCAAAGCAGTCTGCTTCGCCAAACCCACCAAGAAATATCGTCTTTCCAATTGCCAGTTGCTATTGTAGGAGAAGAAATGTGATTCATACATATACATACACATATTATATATATACATATTATATCTTGCTTGTCAATTGTGGCTACCAGCAAAGATTTTTAGAGGCCCCACAAACATTTTATCCATCGAGAAACACATGTGATAATGACTCTCACTCTCCCCTGCATGTCACTACTGCCTGCACATCATCTTTATGCTCACTTATTTCAATAGGGGAGGCTTTATACCAGAAAGGGTCCACTCTCGTCCCTGCACATCTTATCACAAGCACCATCTTCTCTGTTTTCATGTCATAACATGATATAGATAGAATATTCTCTTCAGAAATTAGAATATCCAATGTCGGCTAAGGTGGTAGGTTTCCTCAGAACTCAAGGGTATTTGAAACACCCAGGGGCAATCATCAACAATGATGACACTTTTCAAGAGCTTGCATAGCTGCCTTCAGCCAATATTTTACTCATAAGATTTTTTTCATGGACTAATCACCATACAAACTTGATCCCAGCTGCGTAGATCAACACAGTGCTTCTACCTTTCTGAATTTTTCCCAGGAGAACAACAGTCAACTTGTATTTTCTCAGTTCTTCCTCTGTTCTGATCACAAGAAAAAGCCAAAAACAAAATAAGCCTTCCCCCTCAAACAGGGAAAGCTTACCAGTGTCCAACCACCTTAGGTAGGAAGCTCCCCTCAAACGGGCAACTCAGTGATGCTCCATTAAGGAAAAAACTCATTGTTGGCCCTCTTTGAGGGGAAAAAATCGCTTTACCTTCTCCCAACTACTGCCACTGAAGTTAAACACTGTAGCCACTCTGCCACCAAGGGGAAAAGCACACTGCTGACCTACCGCCGGGAGAAACACCTCCCAGCTACCAGTGCAAAAGAGTACAAGCCCTTATGGAAACCTCTCCCTAGGGTGAACCCAATGACAGGCTCCCTTCCAAGGAAGAACAAACCCACAGATGGCCCTGGGCAGGTAGAGATGAGCTTGGCACAGCCAATGGGCTTTATATTGGAAAAAAAGTAGCAGGTTTCTCCATTTCCCTATAAACAGTGGGTTGCTGGCAGTTCCATTTAAACAGGCTTGGAAGAAGATGAGACAAAGACTGAAGAAGAGACCCCACAGAGAGGAGCTTCCACAAGGCTTACAACAGAAAAAAATGGGCAACAGGGCGAATAAACAAGCAGCAGAATACACGACATCCCAGTCTCCTGGTAGCTTCATTCTAGCCCATTAACAACTGCGTTCTAGTCCACTTCTACTGCCATGGTTTCACATCGTCTGTGGCATGAATTTTCAATGAATTAGAATGGTGTAATCTCTTCAAACCGGCAAAAAGCTCCCACCAACTATAGACCTAACACAAGCACCTAAAAAAAAGATATGTTCCTAATCTGTTAACTTTCAAAAGTAAAAACAACTGACTATAAGAAAACTGCTCTAAGGTACCATGCCTAGACATCTCACCATGGTATACAACTGACAAGACAAGCAAATATCCCCACATTTCATGGAAAGTAAAAAGACCCAAAGTCAGAAAAACCATGAAAATGCTTCATAGTCAGCAATAAATTATAAAGAAACCCAACATTCTAAAAGCTTACATAAATACCCATGTTTAATGAATGTCAAAAAATATCTAGTAAATATCAAAATTGATGCAAAACTTCATTAAAATAAACTTGAAAATATGTATGTTTCATAAATTTGTTTTCAAGGACAACTGCGTATAGATATTTCATAGTTAAAAGAAAAAATTAGCTATGTTTCGCAAAAGAATAACATCAGCCAATTAATGGGCGCAATTAAGAAAATTAAATTCCATAGACAATTAATATTTTTCTGAATTTGGATAACTTTTTGGATTCGACAATTCTTTAGGCAATCCTTTCCAAAGTATTTTGGTGTCCAAAAGAAGTCCAACTACATAACGTAACAATGTCAATCATAGAGAAAGCAGCCTACCATTGAGGTCAGTCGAGCCCAAACCCAGAGGTTGGTCAAAGGAAAAATGAAATGAAGACTCATAATAATTGAACATGTTATTTTGGAACCACCACAAGCACATTGAACGAATGTTCAAGCCAGCTTGATGATCATCAGAGCATCCAGACTAAACAGTTTTACTTCGTTTACTTCAGCATGGCAGACAATCAATTTCTGACATTTTTTTGTACAAATTAACTGCCAGACATAAATCTACACATGTCGAACCTAACAACATCTTGAAACATCGGATTTATTTCCACATCACAGACAATTGGTTAAGAATTTGTACACAAAATATGATACCAAATTCATTATTATAGTGTTTGGAAATGGGCTCAGCCAGATTCCAGTTCTTGGTATTCTCAGATATGCAGATGTATTCTTTATGTACACCAACACAGTCAAGTTTTAAACAATACATTTCTAAAATTCAAGCACCCATCATAGGTGATTCAAAAAACATTTCTGTTTCAGATCCACATATTATCACTGTAATTGACCTGATGTATAACCCCTTAAACCCTAACCACCGTTTTGTTTATTACCTTCTCCCTTCCTCCCTCACTGACTGCATCCCTTTCCATACAAAACATTCAGCAATCTCATAATCTGTTCTTATTCATTTCTCATACCCTCTAATCTCCCAAAGCTGGCGGCAGATTGCCCTATCTCCAGGTTATATATGACGATTAAATACCTCTAAGCTCAGCCCTTACTTTAGTATAACGCCTCTTTATTCCGGGCTAAGTATGCCATTCAGAAGATGCATCAAATAAAGAAAACTGCCATCCGTTGCAATGAGGAGCATAGGGACATAGTTTAGACGGATAGAAAAAGAAGGGAGAAACCATAATGATGCCTCTTTTTGACATAATGTCGCATAGGATGGCATAAATACACAAAGCATAGATGCTCAAGCCCCAACTATATAATAATGGGAAAACAGCCAGTGCTAACCACACGTAGTAGAGACCAGGAGCAATGGCCAAAGAGAGGGTAAGAGAGTGGAAGTGGTGAAATGAATATGGAAGACAGGCAGCGAAAGCCAAAGTATGGGATGCAACAGAAACGTAAATTATATAAGTAGCAGGAAGAGGAAGAGTGACAACAAGCTGTAGCCTGACCTACAGCTGAAGAGAAAGAATGGAGGTAGTTGAAAAACACAGGGTATACAATTATTGGAAGAGAATCACTCAAAAGAAAGGCAGACCTGAAGATAAACACCTGCATTCACGGGTAACAGAGTGGAAGTGGTGAAATGAATGTGGAGGACCGGCAGTGAAAGTCAAGGTATGGGATGTAACAGAAGCGTAAATAATATAAATAGTGGGAAGAGGAAGAGTGACAGCAAGCTGTAACCTGACCTACAGCTGAAGATAAACATTGGAGGGTAGTTGAAGAACACAGGGTATATAATTATTGGAAGAGAATCACTCCAAAGAAGGGCAGACCTGCAGATAAACACCCCCTGCATTCATGTGTAGAAGCACCCAAAGATAAAGGGAGGATAAAGATGCAAGAGACTACATGCATAGCTGATTCTCCATTTACCAACCAAGATTCTTAAAACCCAACACAAACATCGAAAAATCGCTCATCTTTCATCCATCTTTCCAAATCAGATTTATCAAAATCAGAATCATCCAGGTAAGTGTTTCTAAATGCCCAACAACTCATGTTGCAGCACAATTAAGTTCACAAACATACCCAAGGAAAGATATGATGGCTATTATTTTCCTTTTCGACTTCAATGCCACAAACAAGACTACTAGATGATCAGGTATCTAACTTGTACTGCATGCCAATCAGCTGAATCTACCATCACTGAACATGCATCCATTAAATTAAATACATACATATTGCAGGTCAAAACATAGAAGAAACTTAGAGCAATCAAAAACAACAGAAAGATGGTCACCTTGCAAATAGAATAGCTACCAAAGATAGGCCGTAGAATGCCCATTACATCATGTAGTGCAATTGTATCCAGTAGAAAATCATGCTCCTGAGTAGATATCTGATGGAATACACAAAATTCTCAGTCCAAAATAGTCAATACATAAAAGGAGAAATATATATTATTAGCTTTCCAAAGCATCTATTAAGAAAGGTAAAGATATAAGAATTTTATTGCGACCAATTTAGGACTGACCTGCATAAGTGCAGTAAACCCAAGAAATGAGCGGAGACTATGCTGTTCTGTATCAACAGCAAAAGCCTGTTCTTTCTTCAAGATTTCTGCAAGGGATTCTAACTGATCCTCAGTCGATACCCAAACATAGGAAGGACTGAGATGTCTGTGTTCATTTCTATTGGTAAACCTTGGAAGATTAGGAGGATGATCCAATAAATATGTAATTTTATCTTCAAATGGATGCTCTTTCATGGAGACTTCTGAGAAGCAAGCAACAGTTTAGAAAATGGAGTTACAGACTTGGATAATAAAACTGCATTTGAAGGTCAACAAAAGTGTTAATGAATTCAATTCTCTCATTCAAGTAACTCGTGTGTGACTCTGCAAAGAGCTAATCAGTACAGAGTGTAAAAATTTTGATTCAGTTTATACAGATCTTATTTTTATGGTTTCATGCGTTCAGACCAAGAGAAATCAATGCAACCGATGGCTAGACAACATTATGAATGAATAAGGAAAACTCATGGAGCAAGCAATAAAACGAATATGGATGAGAGAAGATGGTTTCAATTTAATAATGCAAAGCTCTGCACAGATGAGTAATCTTCAATTCAATTTTACCGTAATGAACAACAAAAAAGCCCCCCACCGCTGAACTTTAGTTTCCCCGTTATTGCACAGCAAAGGCAATAAAAATGGAATCTAACTGGTGAAATCAAATTACCGGTTCCTTGTTAACACATTTGAGCATCAAATGACTGCAGCTTGGCAACAATGATAAACCCATCTGAGTTTCAAGTGTTTATGACTAGGCAAGGATGATAATTCAAGTGTTTGCGACTAGGCACAATGATGACCCATTTGAGATTATAGTGTCCCTAACACTAGGTAAGAGCGATAAACCCATTTGAGCTTAAGTGTCTATTACACTGGGTGACAATAATAAACACATTTGAGCTTCAGGCATCTGTGATACTAGGTGTCAAGTCCAGGTTAAATCTAGAAGAAATAATCAAGAATTTTGAAATAAGTTTGACAGAGACGAGATGATTGAACAGTAATGACACCAGACAGTGAAGAGAGGAATAAGTTGAATAGTTTCTTGAGTCCACAGAGTATGATGGGACAGGATTTAGCTGGAAAGGAAAGAGATGGAGTGGAGCCATTCTTGGGCTTTGAAATAAAAGTTATTTCAGTAATTTTTATCACATAAAACAGGATCTTCAGTAATTACCATACATAGAGGGTTGAGTCTATTTCTTTGAAATATCATGTTCCATGAACACATGAAGTGCGAACATCAAAAATATTTGCCGAGTTTTTGGAAGACATCAATCATTCATCTATTAAAAAACACCTTTAAACAACTCTATAACCGTCATGTGCGCCCATCTAATTATATTTTCTTCTAACCTGCTTCTAAAGGATCACGCAAGAGGCTCCAAGAAACATGCAAGCACCCAAGTGAACCAGACCCGCATCACAATGATTGCCCTTTTTCATACTCTTCCATCGTGGACGATGAACCTCCAAATCGAGAAGGACGATCCATGATAATGTTTCGCACAACCCCATTGCATCATTTTCTATTCCATGACGCTATGAATAACTTCCAGCTTTCGGCTTTTCGTGAGCTGGAAGGTATGGCTCGTAACAAGATGCTTAAGAGATGAAATAGTATATGTCCCCTCCCAGCACTAAGGAATGAGCACAGGCCATGTTCATGTCATTTGAAAGCATGTGGTAAAACTTCGTTTCATTATCATTTCATCAGAAAGTATGTTTCGATCTCTCGATCAGCAGGACGACTCTATGAACATTTCGTCAGAAGATTTATTATTATTATTATTATTTTTTACGTCTCCACTCCAGGAAATGAAGGGACAAAACACCTCGAATTGGTCCAACGCCTTCAAAAGGCGGAGGAATGGAGAGGATGAGACTACCTCCGACTCCCCCTTCACGCTTCAAATGCTGGAAGCCGTTGTAGGAATTGTCTGTCAGCACTCGCTTGAATCTGTTCTGCGGCTTCTTCTCCAACTCCAAATAGCACAAGCTCGCAGCAGAGGGCCCAGCAGCCTCCGCCTCTGCTTCCGCTTCCGCCATCCGCTCCTCCTCACTCCGCCTCCACTCCCGCCTCCTCCGCCACCAGATCACGGCGACCGCCAACGCAGAGATAGCGACCGCCGTCACAATCCGCGCTCCGTCCCCTCTGCCCATTTTCCCTTTCCTCCCTCCCACCAAAGCCGAAGCCCCAGAGAGAAGCAGAGAGGGAAGCTCCTCTCTCCTTCCCTCTCTCTCTAGAGTAGTTCCTCGCCCTTCACTCTCTCTCCTTCCCGCCTTTCTGCCGCTACTGACAAGTCCGGCCTGGGCACGGATTCCCCGCCTTTGTCTCGCCTATTCCCAACGGCCCCCTTATCTGGCGGGGAAGAGAGAGAGAGGGACAGTGAGTTGGTACTGCTTTCCACGTGGCTGCAGGCTGATGTATGCCACGTGTACATTGGGCTGAGGGACCCGTAGATCAGGCCCATAAAATCAGTCCAGCCGGGGCCCGAATTCCCCGCTTTTGTCTTGCTTGTTCCTAACGGCTCCCTTCTTTGGCGCGGGGGAGAGAGAGAGAGAGAGAAAGTTGGAGAGGGAATGAGGATAGAGAGAGATAGGCACAGCGACTTGGTTTTAGTAGCCCGCAACAGACGTGTTCCTCCATTATAGTAGTAACCTGCATCTTCCTTCTTCTAGGGTTCTTCTCCGTTCTCTCAGCTTCAAATCTCGTAAGACAGAGAAAGGGAAGAGGGAGCGTCCTCTCCTCCTCCTCCTCCTCCTCCTCCTCCTCCTCCTCCTCCTCCTCCTCCTCCTCCACCTTCTTCTTCTTCTTCTTCTTCTTCTTCTTCTCCTCCTACTTCTTCTCCTTCGCCTCCTACTTCTTCTTCTCCTTCTCCTCCTACTTCTTCTTCTCCTTCTCCTCCTACTTCTTCTCCTTCTCCTCCTACTTCTTCTTCTCCTTCTCCTCCTTCTTGTCATCCTCCTCCTTGTCCTTCTTCTCCTCCCCTTCCTCCTCCTTCTCCTCCCCTTCCTCCTCCTCCCATTCCTCCTCCTTCTCCTCCTTCTCCCCCACGCTTTTTCCTCTGCGGAAACCCTAAATTGACATCATGGCGCCGACTGGAGACTCGACGACGGCGACGGAGCGGACCGCCGCCGACGACTGGCTCCCCATCACGTCCTCCCGGAAAGGCAAGTGGTGGTACTCCGCCTTCCACAACGTCACCGCCATGGTCGGCGCCGGCGTCCTCAGCCTCCCCTACGCCATGGCCGAGCTCGGCTGGTAATCCTCAGCCACATTCAAATCTCTCTCTCTGTCTCTCTCTAGATTGATTGAAAGAAAATGAAGATGAATGAACAGGGGGCCGGGGATGGCGGTGCTGGTGGTCTCCTGGGTCGTGACCCTGTACACGCTGTGGCAGATGGTGGAGATGCACGAGATGGTGCCAGGGAAGAGGTTTGACAGGTACCACGAGCTAGGGCAGCACGCGTTTGGGGAGAAGCTCGGGCTGTGGATCGTGGTGCCGCAGCAGCTGGTGGTGGAGATCGGGGTCAACATCGTCTACATGGTCACCGGCGGCAAGTCCCTGAAGAAGTTCCACGACACCGTCAGAAGAGAAGGACAGAGCATGAGAACCAGCTACTACATCGCCATCTTCGCCTCTCTCCAGTTCCTCCTCTCCCAACTCCCCGACTTCAACTCCATCACCATCGTCTCCGTCGCCGCCGCCCTCATGTCCCTCGGGTCTCTTCTCTCTCCCTCTCTCTCTCTTTCTCTCCCCCCCAACAAAAACCGTAACCCTGAACTCAACTATTCTGAAGCCTCTCTCTCCCTCCCTCTTTCTCCAAAACCCTACATGTAATCACCACTATTCTGAAGCATTTCTCTCTCTCTCTCTCTCTCTCTTCTTGCAGGTACTCGACGGTGGCGTGGGGGGCGGCGGCGGCGAGGGGGAGGCAGCCGGAGGTGAACTACGGATACAGGGCGGAGACCACCGGCGGTGCTGTGTTCGACTTCTTCAGCGGCCTGGGTAACGTGGCCTTCGCCTACGCCGGCCATAACGTGGTGCTGGAGATTCAGGCGACCATCCCCTCCACCGAGGAGAAGCCCTCCAAGAAGCCGATGTGGAGGGGAGTGGTGGCGGCCTACGCCGTCGTCGCCGCCTGCTACTTTCCGGTGGCCGTCGCCGGCTACTGGGCCTTCGGCAACGCTGTGGACGACAACATTCTCATCACCCTCTCAAGGCCAAGCTGGCTCGTCGCCGCCGCAAACATGATGGTGGTCTTCCACGTTGTCGGAAGTTACCAGGTGAGGAGGAGAGAGCTCCGGCGCCGTCGTCTTCAACCTCTGTAATTTACTGCGGTGCCTTTCTCAGTGCAGGTCTACGCCATGCCGGTGTTCGACATGATTGAGACGTTCCTGGTGAAGAAACTGAGCTTCCGTCCCTGTTTAACCCTCCGCCTCGTTGCCCGAAGCGCCTACGTTGGTAGGGTCCTCTCCCTCTTCTTCTCCCCCTTCTTCTTCTTCTTTTTCTTCTTCTTCTTCTTCTGCAACACTGTGCTCCATTAACCATCTTCTTCTGTCTCCTCCCCCTTCTCCACCTCGTCTTCTTCTTCTTGTCGTTCGTCCCCATTATCGTCGTCGTCTTCTTCTTCTTAGCCCCGTTCCTCTTTCCAATAAGGGAAGGGAAGGTAAACCTAATCTTCTTTGTCGTATTCACGAATCGCACGCAGCCTTCACCATGGTGATCGCCATAATGATTCCCTTCTTTGGGGGGCTGCTCGGCTTCTTCGGAGGGTTCGCCTTCGCCCCCACCACGTACTTTGTAAGCAACGACAACTCGACCACCTCAACTGCCCTCCCCATCACTAACTCTGGTTCTTCTCCAGCTCCCCTGCGTCATGTGGGTCTCTCTCAAGCGCCCGAGGAGGTTCAGCCTCTCATGGATCGTCAATTGGGTCAACCCTCCCTCCCTCTCTCTCTCTCTCTCTCTCTCTCTCTCTCTCTCTCTCTCTCTCTCTATCTATCGATCATCTATACATATATATAGTCTATGTATTTCTCTCTCTCAAGCTTCATGTTCGTGATGTGTGGGTTCCAGGTTTGCATCGTATTGGGGATGCTTCTGATGATCATATCTCCGATCGGTGGTCTACGGCAGATCATCGTGGACTTCAGGACTTACAAGATCTTCTCGTAATCTTCTGCTCTGCGGCATCGCGCGAGGATTATTTGCCCTAGTCTGTCGTTATTGTGGATAGACCGTTGCTTCCACTGTGAAGATCTCTCTCTCTCTCTCTCTCTCTCTCTCTCTCTCTCTCTCTCTCTCTCTCTCTCTCTCTCTCTCTCTCTCTCTCTCTCTCTCTCTCTCTCTCTCTCTCTCTCTCTCTCTCTCTCTCTCGATCTATCTATCTATCTATCTCTATCTCTATCTCTATATGAGACGGTGAAGGAAAGAAGACTGTCTCAGATAATTTAGAAATTTCCCGATTCTGAATAGAAGCTTCAACTTACTCTTTCTCTTTTACCCCCCCACTATGAAGCACCTCTCTCTCTCTCTCTCTCTCTCTCTCTCTCTCTCTCTCTCCCCTAACAATTGGAGCTGAGAATGAGATTTTAATTTCTCCGTCACCCCAATAATTCTTGAGCATTTGCTGATATTGGAAGAAAACCTCGGCGATCTGTCCACACAATCGCTGTCTGGCTATGAAGGCAAATATCATAACATTGGAGTATCACATGAACCCATAGAACTATTTGGGTTTTAATGATAAACTCCCGACGGTCGATCGTCACCCGCTTCACTGAGGACGAGGTAGCGGACTGCGAGTGGGGGATACCATGCCACGTCCGCTACACGGTCAACGGATTGCGCTAGGCGACGGCCTATTTTGTCTTGCCACGTAGCGCTACACGACACGTAAAACCACCCCCCTTTCTCTCTCTCTCTTCCTCTGTCGGTACGCAACCAGACAGGACACGTGTCTTCGTGGAGATTTTCAGATTTAAAGATAAGATCATCTCTAACTTCACGGATCAGAAAAACGAAGAAAACTGTGCAGCTATTCAGTTATCACTAAATTGCTAAAAATGGGAATAAAAAGTCAATCTTGTAAACGCCGCCGCCGGAGCCGGAGACGGCGACCCCCCCCCACAGCCGCCGGTTCGCCGGCGGGGGATGAGAGAGAAAACCTGGTACTGAGGATCTCTCTAGAGAGAGAAAGAGAGAGAGAGGAGGAAGCTGCCGCGGCGGAGGGGACCTCCATGAGGGGGGGATGCGGTGGCGGCCGCCCCATGAACAACCTGAAAAGGAGGGGCTGAGTGGAGCCGGCGATGAGAGAGAGAGAGAGAGAGAGAGAGGGGGGCTGAGGATCGTCTTCCTGGAAGTCCACCGAGCTTCTGGGGTTGCTTTAATGGCGGGTCTTCCGTTCTTCGGTGTGGAACCCCCCATCGTCTCCCAGCTCTCTCTCTCTCTCTCTCTCTCTCTTGGAGATTGCAGAAGAGAATTAAAAGCTCAGATCCTCTGCCGCTATAAGAGAAACATCAGAACGAACCAGCCCCTCATCTCCTTTGATTATTCTCCTCTACAACACAATCTCTCTCTCTCTCTCTCTCTCTCCTCTCTCTCTCTAGATAGATAGATAGATAGATAGATAGATAGATGGATGGATAGATAGATAGATGGAGAAGAAGAGGAAGACGGAGGAAGCAGGCAAAATCTGGGCAAAATGCGGCGACGGTGGTGGGGGCGGCGCGGCCGCGTCAGTGGCGGAGGAGGAGGTTCTCCGGCGGCTCGAGGAAGCCGGTGCGGGTGAGGACGGCGTTCCTGACCTTGGTGATGTCCCTCCCCTTGAGAGTCCTCCCCGCTCCTTCGCACATGGAGAAGGACGATATCTCCCTCCTCGCCACCCTCTTGGAGATCCATTCGTGAGGCGGCACCACCATCCCTTCTTCTACTTCTTCTTCTTCTTCTTCTTCTTCGTCGGCGGCGGTGGCGCCGCCGTGGAGGACGGCCCAGCGGGGGATCACGAGGGGGGCGGACTGGCGGAGCGCCGCCCGATCTCCGCCACGGGGGATCGACCTGGCGGCGGCGGGGAGGCGGCGAGGTGGCGGCGGAGCGGCGGAGGAGGGCTCCCTGGCTGTCCTCCCCCTGGGGCTGCTGCTCTCCTTCCTCTGCCTCATCGCCATCACCTCCCAGACCTCCTCCTCCTCCAGCTCCTCCATCAGAGACCAACCAACCCCCCTTCCTATGTCTCTTTCTCTATCTCTAGAGACCCGCCGGAGAGGAGGTATCGAGATAGAGAGAGAGAGAGGGGGGGGACAGAAGAAGACAGCTGAGCACAGTAATTCATAGACGACTGCGGCCTCACCTGAGGTGGCAGTTGCAGCGCCAGCCGCCCACAGAAAAGGGCAAGAGAGAGAGAGAGAGCATTTATCTGGGCTCCATTTTCCTTCGCTCCCCGTGCGTGGAAGCAGGCCGCAAGGAGGGCCATAAAGAGTAAGAAAGAGAAAGAAGAGAGAGAGAGAGAGGGGATTGGAGGAGGGAACACGGGGTCACTGGCAGGAACTACCGTTCGTGTCAGCGTCTTGCGGTGTGTGTTGGGGGCGGCGCGAGGAAGAAGGCGACAGAGGAGCGGTCACCTCCCCGCCGTCCCCAGAAACAGGAGGCATAGTGAGAGAGAGAAGGTACGGGCTTAGAGGACAAGGTGGGCTCCAGCAGAAATTAGAGAGAGAAGAAGTAAACGAAGGTAGCGAGAGAGAGAGAGAGAGAGATGCTCCTTGTCGCAGTGGAGGAGGGAGAGACATTTAGAAATGGTATGTCGGGGATGGGGAGTCTAGAGAGAGGTAAGTTGGGGGAATGTAGAATTCAGCAAAATTGGAGAGAGAGAGAGAGAGGGAATTGATAATGGGGGTTGGGGGGGCAGCTCTAGAGAGAGAAAAGCTGAGATGGTGGGGATCGGCAAAATTAGAAAGTGAGAGAGAGAGTGAGAGAGACAGGTACTAGTAGTGATAATTAATGGAGGGCAGAGAAGGAGGTGTGGTTGTGGGGATGAAGAGAAGGTGGGTTTCAGAAATCCACTGAGAGAGAGAGAGAGAGAGAGACAGACAGAGCACAAGGTTAGTGCTTGCTAATGGAGGAAGAGATTGAGGGTGAGAGTGGGGAAGCACGTTTAGAGAGAGAGAGGAGCGGTAACTTTTTGAAGGTCTAGAGAGAGAAATTTTGCGGCGTAGCATCTTCTATACAAGTATATTTAATATAGCAAATTAAAGAATATTAACCAAAGTATTATTCGATTTAATCGAATTCCACGTGTCAATCTTTGAATGGCCATGTCCTGCTCCCGTGGGCCGCACGCCCCTCCACCCCAAAGAGCGCCCGAAGTAAGCCCGAGCTGCCTCAGAGGCCCAAATAGCTCCACGTGTAGAATTTCGCGCACTATTAGATATTTTCCCTGATATTATATCTTATAATTAAAACACATAAAATGTTTCAATCTTTCGATAATGGATCGTCAAACATGTGAAAGTCAAACTTCAATGGTCAATAACATTTTTCGTCAACTCGATGGATCTCCAGGAACAAGGGAAATAAATCTAAAGAAAATAACATTAAAATATTTTAAAAATCCTGCTCTTTGTATCTTCATGTAGGTAATAAGAAAATCTCCAAAGTCGTAACTAAATTATTCCTTATAATTTCTCAATAGTTTAATTAATAAAAATAATATTTCCCATGTGATGAACCAAGAGCAGTGTTTCGATTTTGAGAATAAAAAACGAATTAAACCAAAAATATTGTATGATTTTTATAGTTAATTGCAGCGTTCTTGTTAGCTGAAAATAAAATATTTCACATGTATTAAAGTATATTTATTTTTTATTCATAGATGAAACTATATAATTTACATACTAAAAATATATAAGTGAATTATAATATAAAAACGGCTGAAATGAGGACAATTCAGTTTAAATTTATTTTTTTGAATAATTTGTTTATACTAATTATTGCTCAACAACATAGTCAACGCCTTAACCTGTAGGGGCTTAAAGACGACAAGCTGGGTATCTCCTTTTGGTTGATGAGGCCCATAATTTCATGGAACCATGGTCAACCCATAATGTTTCTAGATTAATATAGGGAATAATCAGATTTTGGGTATGTGAATAATTACAAATAAATAAATAAATAAATAAATATAGCGTAAGAGGGAGAGTGGAGGCAACAGCAGCTGCGGGCTTTCTATTGAGAGAGAGAAACCCGTAAGCGTTTACGTGCGGGAGGCGAGTTCTCTCTCTAAAGCTACCCGTTTATAAATATCTCTCTCTCTCTCCTCCCCCTCTATTTAGGAAAGGGTTTCGCTTGGGAGGCCTGCTCCCGTGACTCTGCGTCTGTTGTCATCGTTGGGTGGGCGAGACCAGGAGGGAGCACGGATCGACGAGGTCGATCGTTCCGCCATGGCCAAGCGCTCGTTCAAGCTGGAGCACCCACTTGGTTTGTTATTCTTCGCTGATCGATAGAAAACGCATGATTTTGCCTCTCAATGTTGTTTCCGTCGTCGTCTTTGTTATCGGGGAGAAGCCCCGGGTACAGTTGCTGTGATTTGCCCTTTCTAATGGCCGCTATTCTGGGGAGGATATCGTCGTATTCATCCATCTGGTGATGATAGGGTTACGATTCCTCTGCTGTTTGTGCGTCCGATTCCTCTTTTATCTTAGGGTTTACGATCGTATTTACCGCATATTTACGAATCGTGTTCTGTTATCAAATATCCAGCGGGCTTTCCTGTGGATCCTGTCAAATTTAATTTCTCTCTCCAGCTGAATCCGGTGTGCTGATCTTAGCGGTGCTTCGTCTGGTCAAGCGGATCGAATCATTCGGTCCGCCCTTCCTCGAGGAACTTTGGATGGATTACGGCCGGACCTAGGGTAGACCTTTCGTATTATCATTCTAGCATACGGTTGTACTCAGGTCCTTTGTCTTCCCAGCGTGTTAATGGTTTTCTTCCCGGGGCGAGAGGATATTGTGGTTCCTGTCTTCCTGTTCTCATTAATGATTTCTGCTCTCCTGGTCCTGCTTCATCTACGCTCTTCTGTGGGATATGGAAGTCTCAGCTCTCCTCTCTATTCCCCCTGATTGATTCTCAGAAATTCTCCATCAGCACGCTCTCTCCGATCTTCCATTGTTTAATTCTGCCTTCATTTTCCACACACACTGTTGCTTCTCCTATACAGGCAGTTTGTCTCTTTATGCCTAAACTATGCAAATACCGCCTCTTTCTGAAAAAATAATGGATATCTGTGACACTGTCTACTCTTGAAGCCGTGCGTAACAGTACTAATCTTAGGAATGTTTGGAGCTATCTCTGTTATTTTACCTGTGATTCATATTGTTGATGGAAACATTCTGTCAAACTATGCAGATATAGATAGGTTTTTTTTTGTGTGGAGACGTGGCCTGGTTAAACAATATTGGGGACAAAACGATGATCTATGATTTTTCTTTTTCCCGTGAAAGATGTTTCATAAATTTCTTGACGTTCAGCAATATGAAAGAAATCTCATGAATTAGCCTGGTTTCAGATTCACATGAGCACCAGCCTGATTTCCCATCAAATATCATGCACTTTGGATCATGCCATTAAGGAAAGTAAATGAGGAAATCAGTTTACAGCACTTCGCATTAATATTGAACCTAATACTTATGTAGATATTACATAAATAAATGCATAAATATCTAGCCTTTCAATCAAGTTTTACACTTGAAGAAATATATTATAAAGGAAATATATTACATAACTTTTTTAGAAAACCCTTTTCATGTACTTTCAAATGCTATGACGGGTCTAGGTTCTTTGATGGTCTCCGTTCTATGGATTATCATCAGGATTTCATTCGTGTTTTCTAATTCGAGTTAGAATACACTCCTTTACGAATGATTTATCCTCATGGGGTTTTCTGTCTACCAGAAAGGCGACAAGCTGAAGCCGCCCGAATCCGGGAGAAGTATCCTGATAGAATACCGGTAGGAGCCCTACCCCTACTCTATGTTCTTCATATATATTTTTTTAAATAATACAATCGGCATGAAATACAGCCGGATATTGTGAAATGATTTGGACCAGTTGGGATGCTTCATCTTGTTCATGATTTTTTAAATTATTTATTGCCATCAAATTCCAGGTAATTGTCGAGAAGGCTGATAGGAGCGACATTCCAGACATTGATAAGAAAAAGTAAGTTTCTTCATTCTTTGCTCTCCCCCAAGGTTTACTTGATCGATATTTTTCCTATTTTCGGAATATTATTTAATTCTGAACCTGTCGAGGTCCCTTTTTTGGAAACCTCAGAAATCGAGATTATGGCTTTTGATCATTGTTTCCGCTTAAAGATTATGCATAAAAGTCTTTTCAGGTTTCCTAAAACCCCCCGCCCCCTCTTTTGTGAAGACGAGATATCTTGAAAGCCATTAGTAAAAAGATTAATGCCACCAGTGTCCCCAGATGATCAGAAAATATGTTCCTACCCTGTAAATATTAGTAATAAGATCCTAATTTTATCGGTATTACTAAAAGGGGAATTTCTCTATGAATAAGGAAAAAAAGAAGAAAAGAAGACATGGGCTACGAATTTCATGGAAAAAAGGGCTCAGATGCGATTTATTGTCTTGTCAAGACTATGACTCTTGATAATTATTTCCATTAAAAATGATCCTTATTTTATTTTCCGTTTTCCTTTAAACCCCAAGCAAAAATCGGTGTTTTTTATCTGTCCTTAATGAATGGAATTTACACAATCTATGGCCGAAAATGACCAATGATCTGTCGACACTAATAAATCAAAATTCCTTTTATTGATTAGAAATTTAATAAAAGATAATATCTCACGTACATTGGTGAATAAAGAGGGCTCATATAGTTTTAGCGTATATTTTGCTATGTTTGAAAGATGATGGGTTTTAGCCCATGGCCCAGGCATGATTTTGACGGGGGAGAGAGAGAGAGAGAGAGAAAAAAAAAGTCAGCCCCGGTCAGGCTCGGGGCGTTGACGCCACCGAGAAAAATCCATCACGCTGTGCTCATCCGTGCAGGTATCTTGTCCCTGCGGATCTCACCGTGGGCCAGTTTGTCTATGTCGTCCGGAAGCGGATCAAACTGAGCTCCGAGAAGGCCATCTTCATCTTCGTGAGGAACATCTTACCCCCCACAGGTCAGCCCCCCCCCCCGGTACCGCTCTTCTGTCTCTGTGGGCCCCCCTTATATTTATATCCATATATATTATTTATCTCCCCCTCCTCTGCCTCCAGCTGCTCTCATGTCGGCGATCTACGAGGAGAACAAGGACGAGGACGGCTTCCTCTACATGACCTACAGCGGGGAGAACACCTTCGGCGCCGTATGAGGTATCTCTCTCTCTCTCTCTCTCTCTCTAGGTTATCTCTGTAAATAGGGTTCTTTCGGGGGGGCTCCTGTGTATATTCCTCAGGGCTGGAATGACAACGGTGTGGGTGAATAAGAGAGCTCTATGGTGCGTAGCTTACATTGTACGAGAATTTGGAATTTAAAGCTGTTTTTTTCATAATTGTGTGTGTGCCCTCGTTGTCTGCCTGCGTACGTGCCGAGATGTGCGTGTTGGGGGCTTTCGTGAGATCTCTACGAGGGTGATGAAGGAGTTGACTTGGGAGATCGTCTGCTTCTATGTTGACTTGTGCGGCCGTTGACTTCAGTAAGCATGCCAAATCTTCCGTGGTGTGGTGGTATGTGACAAATTCCGAGAACAAGACATGGTGAATATCTAGGCAGCAATCAATCAGAGCGGAGGATTTTTGTTGGTTTTTTTGGAAGAAGCCCCTCAAAGAAAAAGCGAAAGACAAAAGTACCAAACAGAGGAGGTATGTAAATCGGCGGCAGGAAGGGGGGGGGGGTCACTTGGAGGTCCGCTTCGCGTACTGGGCCTTGACCCACTTGATGCCGAGGGTGGTGCCGGCTTTGACCTTCTGCGCGCCGACAGCCGCCGCCGTCTTGGCCTTGTCGAGCCCCACCGAGGCCGCAGCCTTCGCCTTCGCTATCTTCTCGCCGCCGCCGCCGCCGCCGCCGCTCTTAGTGATCCCGCCCCGTCGCCGGCCGCCGTCGTCGTCGCCGGCGTCAGCGCCACTCCCCCACTGGTCAGCCCAGCTCGGCCCCTTGTTCCCAGTCGCCATTTGATCAGAGCCCCTCCTGACACCTACAAACATCCACAGAGAGAGAGAGAAGAGGGGAGAAGCAGCGGTCAACGATTTCCGGATCTTAAATTTGAGGAGAAAGATGGATAGATTGATTGGCACATATATACAGAATCGAGATCCCCAACGGAACCCATTTACGATCAGAAACTGGGGCGGCAGTCAACGACAGGGTGTCGCGGAAGTCAACGGCCGGAGATCGGTCGCCTTTTTCTGGTCCTTAGGAGCAGAGAGAGAAGCTAGGGCTGAGGAGATTGATCGATCGAGATATCGAGCGAGGGAGAGAGAGATCGAGATCGAGAGAGAGAAAGGCTAGGGCTGCGGAAATCAACCGACAGACGATGAAGGACGGAAGCGGAGAAGCTTCGCAGCGAATCCTGAGCCTTCTTACTCCCTATCGATACCCAAGAACGCGCACAGATAGACAGACAGATAGATAGATAGATAGATAGATAGATAGATAGATAGATAGATACAGGGAGAGAAAGATAGACACAGGGAGACGTAGATCGAGAGATAGAAAGATAGATAGATAGATAGATAGATATATAACTAGATAGAAAGATAGGTAGATAGAGGGAGAGAGAGGCTTTCCGGTATTACCGGATGAGATCTACGGGGCTGGCGCGAGACAACAAAGGAGAAGGGGGGATGTATGCGGCCCAGGATAAGGACAGATGAATCCACGGGAACTGGGGGAGAGAGAGAGAGATAGAGAGAGAGAGAGAGAACCTTAGCGATAGAGGAGAGGTGGGCGACGGCGACGACTCCTCACCACCCGCGTCGTCTTCCTCCGGCGGTCGGGGAAGAAAGGTCTACGGAAACTCGGCTAGTCGGCAGGTAAGGCCGAGGAAGGAATGATGGTCGAGCAGAAGAAGAAGGGATAGGCGGAGAGTTGGGGTATTTAAAAAACCTCCATTAATGGCTTCTCCTCGAGGTGCTGCCATCATCCGCCAGCCCCGCAGAGTGCGTCAGGTAGCGCTGGGAGCATTATAGTTTAAACTGATCCCCAACAACAGGACAATTTAGAGCATATTGTCCTTTTCTTAGCTAACAAGAAATGCCCTTGGACTGCTGGCAGCTGGTCGACCTGTCAGTTAATTTCTTCTCGAGGTCATCATTGATTGTGTTGAAGTATAATTTGCCCTCTAAAGTAACTGAATTTATGTTTATACTCCGAACTCCGTAGGATTCAGAGCGAATTATTATACTTTTAGGTCTCTTCGGAGAAAATCTAGGTTTTAAAATAGATACTTGTCAATATTTCCCTGTTTATGATTTAAAGTTTTTTTAATTATGATGATTTTCCGTATGTTTTGAGTCAATTTATAACTTATATTAATTTTGTATCAATTTATTACTTACTTATATATTATAATATTATCATAAGAAAAGTTGTAATTTTTTGAAACGTGGCTGTTGAGCATATTCAACGGTCAACAACTTGTGCATGATTGATTGGTCACCCATGTGACCTTACATTGCATGATGATTATTATCGATTTAATCAAATATCAACCTAATTCAAATCATGAATTGTTAATAAGTATTAAATTTAACAAGAAATTATTCAACTATAATGTTCATACTTTAAAGAAATTATCTTTCATGCTGCCCACCTTAGATTCCTCTAATGGTCAACTCTTATGCAAAGTTAACTAAAAATGTCAACCACCATCCAGCTGAAGTTGATAGCAACTAACAAATCAACATGAGAGTAAACACTACCATAAATAAATAAATAAAAAGAGTAACTAAACTATGACATGGCCAATAATAGGAATACCTAAGATGGGTCGTGGCAATTCCTCGCAAATCCAACTAAAGAACGCCTATTGTCACGCCCTCTCAACTCCAAAGTACCTCTAGAAAATCCTACTATCACACCCTTAGTGCATACAATCTTTAGTCTGCGCATATAACCTCACCATCAACATAAGATCGGAGCCATAGTTTGTGCAGGTGTGCATGATATCTGTGCCGTCGGCATGATGTGGCATGCATGGAGGGGGTGATATATGCATGGCAAAATGCTGCATGGTGGCCACACAAGCATCACAGGGGCACAAGGGAGAACAACGCAGATGTCATAGGGCACATAGTGGCATGCAGTGGTTTATGCATGCAACACAACGTGGCATCGCATAGTACAACGTGGGCACACAACTAGCGTGTGGTGAGGCACACAAAGTGATAGAAAGCAAATGGGTTGAATGTTTGAATGCAAAGATGTCATGTGACACTCTCATGTAATCAACCTCTTGGTGTTAAGTTAGTAGTGACTTCTTCTATTTGTGTGCTTATGCCAAGTCTCCATTGATAAAGAGATTAATAGGCTGCTTGATGTAGAAGAGACAGCTATGGTTGCATATGATTGAGCATTTGGCAAGTATATCATGTTGGTCTTGTGACACCTATTTCTAGGAACATTATGGAAAAAGAAAATAACTAAATCATTTTTTTTTCAACTAGAACCGACCCATTAATACCCTATAATGGGTGGATAGCGAGAGAGAGAGAGAGAGAGAGAGAGAGAGAGAGAGAGAGAGAGAGAGAGAGAGAGAGAGAGAGAGAGAGAGAGAGAGAGAGAGAGAGAGAGATAGATAAATAGAGAGACAAACATAGAGAGAGAGATAGATAGATAGATAGAGAGAGAGAGAGAGAGAGATAGATAGATAGATAGATAGATAGATAGATAGATAGAGAGAGAGAGAGAGAGATAGATAGATAGATCGAGAGAGAGAGGTTAAGGTTGGGTGGGCTATCCATTCAGCCTACTTCATATCGGATGGCTTCTTGATGTCCGAAACCCAATAACCTTCCCAAATGTTAAAAGTTGCGATATCAACCTTAAAGGCTATTATGTTTTACATATGCCCTTTAAATCAGATTGGGAAGAAAGACAATATTACAGAAAGGGGGAGTCTTGGGGGGGGGGGGGGGACGACCATAGGCACTAAAATGTAAACTTCAGGGGTTGAAAAAAACAATTGACGTCTTCTACAGGGAAATAATGACAAATTCCTGTCCTTCAGGAGGGAATTAGGGTTTTCGCCTTAGTTCCCCTCCCCGGAGACCTCCTTGGAGGAAGACGGCAATGGCGGAGGAGGGGGGTCGAACCTGTTGAAGAGCCTGTACGCGGAGAGCAAGCTGAGAACGACGAAGCAGACGGAGGCGAGGAAATGCAGCGCGAGGGAGACCACCGTGCGCCGGCAGAACGAGCCATAGTAGTCGCATGCGGCGCTCCATGCAATCCCTCTGTCCCCCCTGTATGCGAGGTAGAGGACCTCTCCGACGGCCGATCCCGACGTGACCAGGAGGTAGGCGGCAATCTGAGCTCATAGGAGGGAGGGAGAACGGGGAGCGAGCTGAGTGAAGGTCAGGGAAGAGAGAAGGACCGGGGGATCTGAGGGAGGAGGCGGGACCTGGTCCGAGGCGAAGAAGATCCAGGGGGTGATCGGCCACCAGAGGGTCGACGCGGCGAAGGCGAGGATGGTGTATCCGGCGGAGATGGCGTTCGCCCAAACCAGGTACCTGGAGGGGGGAGATCGCTGGTCAGAATGGCGGCGAGAATCAGCGCTGCAGGAAATCGCGGAAGATCCTGCACTTACTTGAGCCCGGTCAGGTCCGTGTATTCCAATCTTCCATAGGTGTCGTTCACCTGCTTGTTGCCGACGATCAGCAGCAAGGCGGCGATGGAGAGCGGCGGGGCGCAGATCCTGAGGACGATCTCCAGGCACCTCAACTTCTCCCCGCCCTGATCCAGCAGACTCGTCTCAACTTCATCTCCCATCCCTCCCACCCCAAGGTACCCCTCCTTCCTTCCTTTCTCTCTCTCTCTCTTTCTCTATCTCTGCGTCTATGTTCAGCCGGACTCTGGATGGGGAGGGCGCATTCAATGGTGGCGCTCTCTTGAAGGATCCCTCCGGATAGACGATGGAGGCCTTGCCGTTTCCCTCGCGGAGGCGGTGGCCCCCCCTCCGTCCCCTCCCTGCAAGCTCTGCCTGGTGAAGTAATAGCACCATGGCCGCCACGGGGGGGCAATGTGGCGTCTTCCAGGCCAGCCTGCAAGGTAAGTAGTACATGGGCTAGGGTTAGGGTTAGGGTTAGGATTAGGGTTAGGTGACGGGCCTCTGACCAGCAAGGTAGGTAGCGCAGTCCTGCAATCCGTCCTCAGCCCTGCATTTATGGACATGAATGAATGCTTACTGTGCCGATCGATCGATGTACTGCCATGGAGATGCAGAGGAAGAGGGGGGAGGGAGGAGGATGGAGAAGATGTGCGGTGGGTCCAAGAGCACGTGACTAGCAGTGCCCTGCGGCCCAGGGCGGCTTGTCTGGTTATCATGTTTACGAGGGGGATGAGTTTTGTCTGACCGGGGCCCCGCAGGTGCCGCTGGAGTGCCAGGCCGCACCCCCCCCCCCAATCCCCCCTCGGCGGATAGCTTAGGTCCTTGAGCTTTCATTGGATGGATCCCCTTCTCTAGGATTTGATTTTTATCTCTCTCTCTCTCTTTCTGTGTCTTAGAGGGACAGTCTTTCTCTCTTTTATGGGTTCTAGGTTCATATTGTGGGATGGACAGTTTTTTATATAGTGTTGGTGAGAGAGAGAGAGAGAGAGAGAGAGGGGAGATTTAGGTAACAATACGTTGGTAAACCAGTGAAAATAATTCGCTACCGTCTTCAGCTGGCCCAATTTCCTCACACCATTAATTTAGTTGCAGAAATTTCCACTGTGTGTGTGTGTGTGTGTGTGTGTGTGTGTGTGTGTGTGAGAGAGAGAGAGAGAGAGAGAGAGAGAGAGAGAGAGAGACCTTAAGGGTTAGCCTTTGGGTCTTGTTGGAAATCTTATATCATTATCTAAAAGTCCTTGGAAAATTAATGCATGTGGGATGGCTGAAAATGATCCCAAAAGAATGGAGCTGACATTTTTACATTAATTGTGCCAACCTCTAAACGATTTTTCTTGCTTACAATTGTTTGTGGGTAGCTGAAGTGAGGCGACTGAATGTCAAGAGCATCTACATCTGAGAACATGATACTTGCCAAGAAAAGAAATAGTTGACTCATGACTGAAAAATGTTGACCCTTCTGGGCAAGACAAAAGCTAGGAGGGTCAACTCTCGAAGCATGTACAGGGGCTAATACTTGTAAGAAGAGTAAAAGATATTAATCATCAGGTTTACTCCACATTGTGTATATTGAAAGTATGTGCCAACACTCAGTCGAGTTGCTGAAAATCTATAGAGCATGAGGGTCAACTCTTGAAGGAAGTACAAGGGCTAATACTTGTACGAAGGTAAGAGAATTTAATCATTGGGTTGACCCCCACATTGTGTATATTGAAAGTATGTGCAAACACTCGTCGAGTTGCTGAAAATCTATAGAGCATGAGGGTCAACTCTTGAAGGAATGTACATGGGCTAACACTTCTAAGAAAAGTAAAAGATATTTAATCATTGGGTTGAGTCCCACATTGTGTGTTGAACCCTTATGGAGACTTACAAGATGAGTGTTGACCCTTATGGACTTGGCAGCGACGTTGGATAACTAGTTGACTAGGGATAGCAAATTGATTATATTTATAATTCTAAGTCGTCACCTTCGAGTCTGATGCTCCTTGCCAAGGGAAGGGAGCCATGAAATCAAAGTTGTAAGCTTGTGGCTTCTTTTTAACTATTTATACTGAGATCATGTTAATAGATGGCCATCACCTATAGGAAGTGAGCTAACACTATGAGGATATTGCCTTCTCCCCTAGAAACTTTGAGTTTGTGAGAGAAGTGAGTTGATGCTTTGGCATTCAATCAATGTATCATCTACGATGAGATGTGTGTGTGAGCCACTATAAAACCGTTTTTGTGTATTTTTCTATGATATTAGGGACCCAAATCAATATTTTATATTTTTTAAGCTGCTTGAAAATGTTAATTCATTCCCATTTTTGGTTCTTCTTGAGGTCCTATTAGGATCAACAAATCTAATTATTTTTATTCATAATTTTTTAAAAAAGTGATCCACTTTTTATGTTGCTAGAGTGTGTACTAACTATGGGAATTAATAATTTTATGCTACTAAATTTGTGCTGCGTATTTCCCAATATTATCAAAATAGTTCCCAAACTCTTAGTATTTTTTTTTGTTCCTCATGTTTTCATGTTTTCATGTTTTTCATTTATTTTCTAGGATTTGCTGACAATTTATATCCACCCGTGGATAGAGCCCTTGAAGTAATTAAGATCAAGAAATGTCACCACTACAAGGTAAAATAAAATAAAATTAGAGGTACTATGATACAGAAAATTTACTAGTAAAAGTCATTTTTTAATTTTTCTTGACGAAAAATATCAGCAAAGTTTTCTGTTCTACTTGGATCTGCATCAAAAGCCTTTTAAAAGATACTATCCTCTTTAATAATGAGGTTTTTAGTACCATTCTAATTATTAAAAAATACCATGTTTCAACATCTTAAATATTTCAACTCTATGCTTATTCACCAACTTTCTAAAAATAGTTTTTTCTTCTCATTTATACCTGTATTTGATTGATGCACCCAGTTGTGCCCATGAGAGAGAGAGGGAGAGGGTGCGAAAGATAAATATATATACATATGTATATATATAGATAGATAGATAGATAGATAGATAGATAGATAGATAGATAGAGAGAGAGAGAGAGAGAGAGAGAGAGAGAGAGAGAGAGAGAGAGAGAGAGCGAGAGAGAGAGAGAGAGAGGGGTGAATGGACCGGGCCCGGGCATATAAGTTATCGGGCCCATTGGCATGCCTTGGAATGGATTCCTAACTTGTGGTTAACTGCCAGGACAAACGTATTCCGAGAATAGACGACGATTCCCGTCGCGTAACGGCTAATAAACGCACGTGATCAGACGAGACTCGTAAGAGACCCAGTGAACCACCGATCTAACGGTTGATATTCTGTTGCCAGTCCGTACACCACTCCGTCCTTTCCCGGGCCCCGAGGGAAGAAGCGAAGGGGTGGGAAAATCAGAGCGTGGCTTCCCGGATAAAGCAAATCCGCTTGCCAAGCGGACAAGTAAAGTAAAAGCAAAAGCTGGAGAGAGCAGGTTGAAATCGATTTTTACCACGGTTAACCGGGCCGGGCCGCCCTCCCCCTTGCCCAGTCCTGGCCCTCTCTTTATGAGAGAGAGAGAGAGAGAGAGAGAGAGAGAGAGTGTAATGGTCCTCTTTAATGGGTTCGACTTTATGTGGATAGTGCAGGGCCAATCTATCTGCCCGCCAACCCTCCTCGGCAATTCTCATGAAAACTAGTCACTATTTCTATCTTATTATTCACTTTATTTATCTTCCATCGAGTATTATGATAATTAAAGAATTAAGAGAATATATATATATGTAAATATAAATATAAATAGAAGGGGCAAGAGAGCGATCTGGGTGGGAGAATGAGTTTAAATGAATTTATATGGCCTGATAATAAAATTGGAGAATTATTTGGAGAATTCAGTAGAGGAAATAACCTGTCGGATTTAATATTTATTAATTTGGATATTAGAGGTATTTTTGCGTCATTTTTAAAGTACTTGGAAAAGCAGACGTCAGCAGAACAGACTGTCGGGACAGCTGCCCCAGCCTCAGAAGCAGAAGTTTCTTTTTTCTCACCCCCCCCCTTCTCCCTCTGCCCTCTCTCTCTCTCTCTCTCTCTCTCTCTCTCTCTCAGTGTCTCTCTCTCTGTCTTCTCTGTGTGTTTGTGTGCTGGTCTTACCCTTTTGTAGCAGGGGACGAGCTCTCTAAGAAGCGAATCCTTGGGTTTCTCCCTCTGTTCTAGATTGGGCGAGGGAGGGAGAGAGAGAAGAGAGAGAGAGAGAGAGAGAGAGAGAGAGAGAGAGAGAGAGAGAGAGAGAACTGGAATGTGATGGCGCTGGCAGAGGGGAAGAAGGGGACGAAGAAGAAGGAAAGGGCAATGGAGGGAGGGGAGGAGGACGACGAGGCAGGGGCAGAGGAAGAGGAAGAGAGCCTCGCCGTTAGGGCAGAAGAGTACGCTCACAGCAGCCTCCACTACTACGTGGCCACCGGCGACCAGGCGCGCCTCTCCGCCGCCCTCGCCGCCCTCCCCCGCCTCCGGCCAGCCTCCGCCATCCGCTCCGCCGCCGACGCCGCCGAGCAGGACCGGCTCGCCGAGCAGATCTCCTCCGTCCTCGACCGCCGCGACGTCCCCCGCCGGGAGACGCCGCTCCACCTCGCCGTCCGCCTCGACCGCCGCGCCGCCGTCGCCTCCCTCGTCGCCGCTGGCGCCGACGCCTCCCTGCAGAACGGCGCCGGCTGGACGCCGCTCCAGGAGTGCGTCCTCCTCGGCCGCCCCCGCCACCTGAGCGTCCTCCTCCTCCGCCACCACCACCGCTCCGCCTGGCACAAGTGGCGCCGCCGCCTCCCCTCCCTCCTCGCCGCCCTCCGCTTGGTCCGCGACTTCTACCTAGAGCTCTCCTTCCACTTCGAGAGCTCTGTCGTCCCCTTCCTCCCCCGCGTAGCCCCCTCCGACACCTACCGGATCTGGAAGAGGGGCGCCAGCCTCCGCGCAGACACCTCCCTCGCCGGCTTCGACGGCCTCCGCCTGGTCCGCGCCGACCAGTCCTTCCTCTTCCTCGGCGGCTCCGATGAGGACGGCGGCGGCGAACTAGGCCTGGACGCCGATCCCGATCCCTCCTCCTCCCCCGTCGCCGCCGGGTCTCTGCTGGTCCTTGACCACGGGAAGAAGGAGCTCTGCGACGCCCTCGAGGCGGCGAGGAGCCCCATGGCCGCCGCCGACGAGGACGAATTCCTCGCGGACTCTAGCATGTACCGGCCGGGACTGGACATCACGGCGGCGGATCTGGTCTCCCGCACCAACTGGCGGAGGAAAGAGAAGACGGAGACTGTGGCGAAGTGGAAGGCCCGCGTCTACGAGATGCAGAACGTCATCTTCTCCTTCAAGACGCGGCGGTGGGTGGCGGGGCGCCGGAGGGAGACGCTGCCGCTGGAGCTCCATCTCGACGATGACGAGGAGGAGGGCTTCCTGGTCGCCGAGATCCCCGACCTGGTTCCATCCCGCCACAGCTCCTACGAGGCCCCCAGGGAAGACGGCCACGGCGGCGGCGGCGGGGGCAGCGGGAGGAGGAGCGTGGACGTGGCGGCGATGCAGAGGACGGCGTGGGGGAGGCCGGCGGCGGAGACGACTGCTCCCCGGCGGAAGCCGGCGGCGGCGGCGAAGGAGAAGGAGAAGGAGGTGGTGAAGAACCTGCGGCCGTGGGTGTGGCTGACGGAGGAGTTCCCCCTGCGGGCTGCGGAGTTGATGCCGGTGCTGGACGTCCTCGCCGGCAAGGTGAAGGCGGTGCGCCGCCTCCGGGAGCTTCTCACCACCAAGTTCCCGCCGGGTACCTTCCCCGTCAAGGTCAGTAAAAGCTTCTCTCCGGGACGCTCGTTCACATCAAGCCATAGTTTCCTCCGTGGTTCTTGACGGGGTTTTGACCTCGATCATCGGCGTTGACCGGATGATGTTTGGTGCTGCAGGTTGCGATCCCGGTGATCCCGACGGTGAGAGTCGTCATCACCTTCACCAAATTCGTGGCCCTCCCTCCCCTGGAGCAGTTCTTCACTCCATTGTCGAGCCCTGGTGAGATCTCTGAAGACGGCGGCGATCAGGAGGAGGAGGGCAGCCGGCGGCGGCGGCAATCGGAGGACTACGGGTGGTGCCGCCGGTGGGGTGGGAGGAGCACCGCCGCCAGCCTGAAATCCGTCAGCCCGTCTCCCCTGCCGGAGGAGCTGCCGGAACCATTTGCCATCCCCAGTGATTATGCTTGGACCAGCATTGCAGCCAAAAAAAGGGGGATGAGGAGATTAAGATCCAGGAAGGTGAAGTATATCTCCTAGCGTGGGCTGGGTGAAGATAGTGTCTTTAGTTTGTTTCCACGGTAGGAGAGGCTTTTAGAGAGAGAGAGAGAGAGAGAGAGAGAGGGCAGGCATTGTGTACAGATGTACTGTCAGTCTGATTTCTCTCGGTTGTCATCGCCAGGGCTTCTCTCTCTTGACAGGTTTACCAGAGTTTTCTCTTAAATAATTAGATGTTGACTTCCGAAGGCGCCAAAGTAAGCCTCGAGACAAGTTACCACCGACCTTGAGAGAGAGAGAAAGAGAGAGGGCCCAAGATGGCCGCCGTTGCAAGGCAGGACAGGTTGTTGAGAGAAAGAGGGCTGTTTTGTGTGCATTGAACCACGCTACGCAAAGTATTGTCCTTCATGCATGGACGGGTGCATGCAGTTGTCGGGTGCGAGGTAGCTAACAACACGAGCGAGCGTGGACTATTTATATATGAAGTCAACCATAAATGGTTCGTTGGTTTTGAAGAGGATGTAAGAGAAAATAAGATGAGGTGGGAGGGGAGATGAATTACTCTTAGATTTCTTTGTTTTCTACCGAAACAATGGAACCCACTCTCTAAGTACCTCGTCTTTAGGGTCAACTACATGGAAGTCGTACAAATGCTGAACACCAATGCTTTATCTATCTTCCTAAATTTTGCAATGCCATTTAACCCAATTATTCCCTAAAAACATTGTTTTTAGATTCACAACTTTCTTGGGTTGACTAAATAATCTTTCTATAGTTATAATTTTAGGTCAACTCTAGTATTGAAAGTAGTCAATTAAAAATCAAGAACAGTTTAAGAAAAAATATAGCACTCTTGCAACTTGCTATGAATTCCTCAGCTAAAAGATGTGGAGGTGGGTATTGTAGAGGGCCTTAATGCATGACATGGAGATGTTGATTTTGATGCTTGAATGATTCTTTGTCAACCTGAGAATTGCAATTTTTAATAGCAAAAAACTCCCAGAAAAAGGTCTACAGATAGCTAAGATGAATTTCCAATTAGTTTTAGGTTATTGTAACCCTTTGCCTTTTTCCTTATTTTCTCTAGCAGTGTAGTGAGTTTTTGTTTCTCTAGTAGTCTATTCTTGAGTGTACTCACTTCTTAGTATCAATAACACATGAAATTTTGCAGGGAAAACATCTCAAATGGTTACATAATTTAACTTATAGTATTTTCATCATAATATATTATTTTAAAATAATTAGTACAATCATATTTTCTTTCTCCTCTCAATTTTCCCCATTTCAATAAAAGGGGTAAATATTCAATGAAAATAGATCTTGAAATTCTAGAAAAAAGTTCATCAATCTTACTAGTAAATTTTCGAAATAATAAATAATGTTCAAGGGACAAGAAAATATTTGAATATTTCGTGATGTGAAATTACAATTTTAGCATTGAGTAACATTTTCTCAATTTCTAATTATATATATAATTTTGATAAAACATTGAAGTGTATTTTTAATATAATGAAGCATGTTCTATGGTCATGAAGGTATTATAATATATTTTGCAATATGAAATTTTCATTACCCATCATCATCAAAACTTTTAAGCTTGTTTGCTTTGATAGCTCAAGTAGTTTTGATGACAAAAAAAGTAGACAGAAGGATAGAGTTTTGACCCAAAATATAAGAACTATATCTCATGATGATCAAGGTCATTGCAGAAATTAATGAGCTTTAACTCAAGTAAAATACTCTTAGGGGCAAAATGGTCTATGAAGACATCAAATGATTAAATAGGTTTTAGAATGTAAATTTTTGTTACAAGTACAAAATTCATTAGATAGTAAATGAAAGTCAAACATAATGTGATAAATGGTGCATAAAAATTCAAAGATTAAAATTTGATTATGAATTTTGACAAGATCAATAAACACTTTATGAAGTTTAAATTTCAAGTATAGATTTGACAACTAACAAATCATTCTTCAAGCTTAGAAACTATTATGGAGGGCCCAATATGTAGAAATCCGGCCCACATTATAGATAAGCAAAAAAAGAAGAAAGAAAAATGGTAGAGAGAGCTGCTTGTCACCTTTCAAAGAGCTCACACAACAAACTTACATTCTTGAGTGCTTGAAAGAAAGGAGCCTATACTTCTTAAGTTATCTAGGAATCCACTATGCATTAGCTACTTGATCATCTTCTAGCAAAATAAATCAAGCTAAGGAAGCTACAAAGAAATCTATAAGATCATCTATTTGTTCTTAACCTATTTTTTGGTTTCCTAGAGCTAATAAATCTAGTATTTTACTAGCCAAAGCCTTTATGTTTAGTAGATAAGATTGATGAGACTTCTTCAGTGGATAAGCTTGTTGAATCCATGAAGTCTAGTGAAAGCTAGTCAAGAGTGTAGTGTTCAATTGAAAAGCTTGTTGAGGCCTTGATGTTCAATATATTTCAGTAAAGATTTGGTGGAATATTGAGATGATTCCATTAAAAGACTATAGGCCAAACATGCTGAACCAAAAAAACTTGTAAGGGACTAAATCATGGAAGGAAATCTGAAAGATAAATTAAAAAGACCGATTTACTTCCAATAGATTTGGTTAATATTACCAATGAGATTCTTGTGAAGCTCTTTGATAAATCGATTTCGAGGGTCATTGAATAACCCCAAAATCGGTATGTCAATAATATTTACACTCCCATATTTACTCTTTTAGATTATATTTTAAAATAATTCAGTATTGTGGTAAGCTAGGGGATCGATTCTCAGGGAATGGTGGGTAGAGTTCACTTTTATTTGTTGATTAAAATTGACAAGAATGACTGAGATCACGAAGAAGAAGAAATGAGAAGCAAACAAGAAGAAAGGGTGGTGAGACGTGAAACTAATTTGTTGAAATATGGGTGATTCATACAATCAAAGGGATCGTGTGATCAACTATAATGCTAATCAAAATCTAGATCCTAACTAAACACATTTGACTCATTGGTTCTTCAAAACTAACATCACGTCTTCTTCCTTATTTTTGCCAAGATGAGGCAATAGTCACTAGCCATGAGAGGAAATCTCATTCAGGGGGAATCGCCTAATGATGAATAGACAACACACCTTTGATTGTGAGGTATGGAGCTTGGGGCCCTTCAAACCTTGCTAGGACGGCAACCACCTAAAATTCTACTAAGATAAGTTAATATTTTCATCATTGACACAAATTATATATATGACGGCACCCCTCTTTCTCTCTCTCTCTCTAATTCTTACAATGCAATTGACCCTTAAATCAATGGTTGAGCCGCTCCCTTCTTGCGTAGATAGTGGATCCCTCTTCACGCCTTCTTATATGCCTCTTGATAAATATATATCTTGACCTCTAGATCTTACTCCTTTTATCTCTAATTGATGGTGGATCCTTCTTTATGCCTTTTTGTGTACCTTTGGATAAGCATCCTGGTTGTTGGATCAATACTTTTTTTCTCCTAAGTGGTGAATCTTCCTCCTCACTCTTTAAGTGATGCTATGTAAGTGATTATGAGCCTTACGCTCATAACTCTTCATTTGGGCCCACCTTGCTTGCTTTCGTTGCACACTTATGAGTTTTAAGCTCATAATTCTTCACCCAAGACTCAAGTGTGATCTTGGTTCCTTCATAAGCTGCAAACTAATGTTTAGTATATGAAAGTCATGTGGTTAGAAGACAAAGAATTACATCATGTTTTCACATGATGTACATCAAGTATCTAAAATTATATATAAATCAATGAGAAATGAATAAAATACATAAAATGTGTATGAATGTTGATGCGTGCTCCAAACATGTGAATTCATTAGTAAATTAATAAATTTGTGTCTTAAAATCATGAGCTTTGATGCAACATACCTCATATATAATGTATTATTTATGCATTATCACTCCCCACTAAGAGTTCCCTCATATTTCGATGTGTCTTTAGGCCCTGACACATCTCTACTTGGAGGCATCGAAGATCACAACAATGATGTAGTCGTTCATGAGGCTCCCCTGTCACATGAAATGGGCTAAATTTCCCATTTCATAAAGAGATCCCTCTCCCATGCCATAGTTCACTGTCAACTTTTTGCTGCCGAACACCAACTTCGACACACCTGCTCATCATCACTCCCATTGCAAATTTGGCCTCGATCCATCCTTTAGTAGGTTGTACAAGTTCCTGTGATAGCCTCACTTTGGCTTCTTATGATTCTTCTTGGGGAAAGATCAGCCGTAGTCTGCAGCTATTCAAGGGGACCTTCCATCAAACCTTTTTGGATGGAGTCTGATGCTGGCTGGCTACTTGGAAGGTCGATGATAGCACTAGAATGCGAATGCTATTGTCTAACCTTTGCGAGGAATGATTCAACATCATGTCCCCTCCTAAATGGGCTTGTACGGGATGTTTCTATAGCATCGGTCATGATTCTTGGTTGACAGATCATCATTGTTGGACAAGATAACTACTATCTCGAGGAGAGAATGCTGTGGCACCTGAGAGAGAGGCCATGGTGCTAGATGAGAGACATGTAGATTTGACCTTCTGCCTATAAGGGCTCATCATTCCTATGGGTAAATACAGAGGAAAAAATTGGATGATGTAGAACTCAAGCACCTAACAATTGGGTATGTTTGTGGGTCATGTTGGGAGCCTGGTGTGACGATGGCAACAAAGCTCATTTAATACAGCGAAACTTTGTACATGACCAAGGATTCACTTCACAAAGTCACCGATGAGTTGATATTTAGTTGTACTTTGAAAAGGGCTTCTCAAGTGTTTGAATGAATTATTAGATACAGCCATGTAAACTCACTCTCTAAGTGAACTTGATGAAAAAACGTGAGAACAAGTTTGTCCACTGAATTATTCACTATTTAAATGTCAACCCATGACATTTATGTCCTTGATATTTTTCATTTTAATTAACAATATCTACTAACAAGAATCATACACTAAGTTTATTTCTATAATAAACCTAATTTCCTCTCTCCTAAAATTTTGGATTAAATTATAAAAAGAACCATAAGCAATAGTTTTATGTCTAAGTTTCCCACTTTATCCTTAGGAATGTTCAAGAGAGTTCTTAGGTTTGTTGTATACACCCTTGGATAACCTACTTTATAGGTATGATCACATGCAGTACTTTGAACTTATTATCATTTATGGCTTTTGGGGTTTAAATCAATTCATAATATTAAAAACACATTAATATTTATGACCACATAATATATCTTATATTAAGGAAGATGACTTCAACATAATTAACTAATAAGTTTACATTATCATAAGTTAATAGTTAGTTAATAATATATATTTAAACTTTAACTTATGATAAATATACTTATATTTATGTTAAATTGGAAAATAAGTTTTTAGCTAACTAATGGGACAATTTGGATAGTTATG